CTTTGCTTCTGGCCTTTTTCCAAGTTCCACTTACTTAGGTAGAAGCAAATGATGATAATCGTCCTTACATTTGATATTTGATATAGTGCCTTTCATATCGGTACAATATCAAAAAGCTCTTCACAGGATATACTCTAAAGTGAAGTGGGTATTTTGTGGGCAAATGTGGCAGCCCATTTGTGCACCACAAAAACCCACAGACAGCCATGAAGTGAACAACCAATTTTATCTCGGGGTTTATTTAGGTTGGACCATCAGGAAAAACTCCCTTCTTTTTTCAAATGGTGGCATGGGATCTTAGCTCTTGTGCAAACCTTGAACTGATCAGTGCCTTGGGCCATCCTCCCAATTTGAAAGGCACTAAATCAATGTAAATTTACATTGTGTTGTAACATCCATTTAAACAGGCAACCGGGACCTCAGTTTAATGTCTCATGTGAAGTATGGCACCTCCGACAAAGGAACGTATGCCCAGCACTCTATTGGAGTGTCAGCTTGAACTGTGAGTTCAAAGTCATGACATAGGGTGTGAACCACCAACAACAACTTGCACTTATATCACGCCCTCCACGCAGCGTAGCATCTCAGACCAGTTAAATCAATCTTCTGACTCCGAAGTGAGAGTGCCACTAACTGAGCCAGGCTGATACCTAAGCACTGTAATTGCCATGTCATAAATTGAGGCTCACTCCTTCAGCTACTCCTTCATAAGCCCGGAAAAGTGATTGGTGGATCGCTTTACCAGGGGTAATAATTCCTTCAAATAAAATTGGTCACTCAATCCACGACTGTTTGTGGGACACTGCTGTGCGCAATTGGCTGCCAAAAATGCAAGGATTATTATTATTCTTTTATTATACTGAAATTGAAAACTCAGGTAAACTTACTGGGGCCTCCCTGCAAGGATAAATGCTTTGCGGTCACAACGATTTGTGATATCTCGGTTCTACTAAGATCTCGGATCAGAGCTCAGGTCCAGCAATCAGTATGATGCACAGGAAATTCCCATCAGATGGGACATCTCATCCGATGATCGATACCTCCAACAATGCAATGCATCACCAGGCCTGTATTGGAGTGTTAGCATGGACTGTATGGGTTCCAAATCCTGCGGTGAGAGGACTATCAACTGAGTGAATCTTTCACACAATGGCAAAATTGCCCCAAAGTTTCCATATCCCATCTGTTGAGCTATTGGAAGTGACAACAACAGTTGGCAATGGCAGAACAGGCATCCAATGCTGAAAGGGTTAAGTCACGGTCACCTCAAGGATGATCAGTACTTTTTTTTATTACAGTCAGACAAGGAGACCAAAAACAACTTTCATTTATACAGTTGTGGGAAAGAAAACTGCACGGTAAATGGCATGTCGATGCTGAAAAAAGCACCTTAAAATGCAAAGTACATCTTCTGCAGGGAGTCCATAGAAATGTACAACAACAACAATAACAACTTGGATTTATATAGCGCCCTCCACACCGGGCGGCGTCTCAGAGCGCTTCACAGTAACGGATCCCGGGACCGAGCCAGGGGGAGGGGGAGGAAGGTGACCAAAGGCGCGGTCGAAAAGAAAGGTCTTCAGCAGAGACCTGAAAATAGGAAGGGAGTCGAAGGCTTTTTTTTATGTCAGTCTTTACTCCTCCAAGAAGCATTCATCATAATCCAACTTCTGCTCTTTCCTGACATCCTCTACCCTCTACCAATACCCTTCCTTTGCATTTGCTTGTCCAATTTTATTTTAAATTCCCCAGTTGACTACTCTGACAGCCACCCCAGGCAAATTAATCCATATCATGACAAGCCTCTGAGAGTATAAGTTTTTTTCCAGACCTTACCGTTAACTCCTCTTGTCACAGTCTTAATTCAGGCCAATCTTAATTGACCTTCAAACCCCAGCAGAATGAGTTTTTCAAGATGAATTCTCGCAAACTCATTCACTTATCTCAAACCCTGCTGTCATTTCACCTCAATCTTTAATCAATTTACTGTGCCGTGATCGGCAATTTGTAATAGCAATTCATATTCAGTTGTAATTATAACAAACAAACCTCCTTGTACAGGGTCTTGACATTGCGCAGAAATTTGTTCAAGCAAGTCATAATCTGGGCACTATTAACAAGTATAAGAGAATAATTTTTCATTTTCATTTTTAATGTTTTCTCAAAGAGTATGTCATTTATCATAGAAAATCTACCAGCCAGACTATCTCCAGGGGGAACCCCAAAGGGAGTCAGTCAGGTTTTCATTAAAAAATAAATCGAGGGGATTAAAAATGTTTAATATTTTAAAAGCAGCGTTTACATGTTTACTTTACAAAAGTAAAGTATGTTATTCCACCCTTCCTTCCCCCCAAACATCTACATGCACATATTGGATTTTACATTCACATTATAATTTACATTTAAATAGCAGATTTCATGTCGGAAGGATGTCTCAGAGCAATTCACACCGCTGATTGGGAGCCAGAACTCAAGGGGAGGTGGATGGGGATGGAGCTGGGAGGTGTCTGAAAGCTCAATCAAAAAGATGGCAGAGAGAGCTGCTGGGCAGCAGGTCACAGAGTTAGGGTGGAATGACTTCGGGACCAAAACTGAAGATAATACTCTTAATATTCTAACAATTTATACAAGCATTGAATTCTTTGGTTTTATGTTCAGTGCCCCTATTTATAAAACATAGAATCCGATTAGCTTTCTTCACAATTTTGTTCATCTGATCACCTTAAGAAATGTTAATCCCAAGGTCTCCCCTCTTCTTTTTAAATTACCATTTAGCATATTCCTGCTCTCATTCTTCCTCTCAAAATGTATAACCTCACACTTATCTGCATATATTTCACCTCCCATCTCTGCCCAATCTACTCATCCATGTCCTCCTGTAGTTGCTGACAATCTTCTTAATTGTCAGCTTCACTCCCTACTTTGTGTCACCCTTTGAGCACCTCACCCTCTACTATCTCTCCTCTCTCTCCCTTACAATTCTCCTAGTTTACCGCCTCCCCAAACCTCCTGGCTACTTCCTCACTGATATCTACTCTCACCCCTGTCACTCTGCAGTGAATACCTGCTCATAATGAAAGATTTCAACCTCCACCTAAACTCCCCTTGCACCACCTCCTTGAATTTCACTGCCCTCCTCTCCTCCCTAAACCTCCATCCCATGTCCACTTCCATCCCACCCAGACTATCCACACCACCTTCTCCCTCCACCACGGCTCCTGCCACTCCCCCCTCCTTACACTCCTTTGCCCTCATTTCTCCCTCCTACCTCTCAACCACAATCACCTGCAGGAAGTTCACCACCCGATGCCTTGACACCCTCCCCACCCAACTGCTGGTACCCTCAACGCCCCCTCCTCGCCCCCCTGCTGGCCGACACAGTCAACCAGTTCTCTCTCTTCAGGCTCTGTTCCACTCCCACTGAAAACTACTGTTATCATGTCCCTCCTTACAAAAACCACCCTCAATCCCTCTAATCTCTCACACTACCATCCCATTTCCTGGAATACACTGTTGGACGTTAACTTCGGTCATGGTGTCCCTCCACTCCCTCGTTGAGCCTCTGCTGGTTTCCGCCCTGCCCACAGCACAGAGACAGCGCTTGTCAAAGTCACAAACGACGTCCTCTCTATCTGTGACCAGGGCAGCCAAAACCTTCGTGCATGCGTTTGTCACCTCCCGCCTGGATTACTCAAATGCACTCCTCGCCGGACTCCCCAGCTCCACCATTCAAAAAATTCAGTTCATTCAGTACTCTGCCGCTTGCATACTAACCCGGACCAAACCCTGTACCTGCATCTCACCAGTTCTGGCCAAGCTCCACTAGCTCCCCATCACCGAACAGATCGACTTCAAGATCCTCACACTTGTGTTCAAATCACTTCACTCTTTGTCACCTCCCAACCTCTCCGACCTCCTCACTTCCCAATCCAACGCCGGCACCTCTGCTCAACTGGCACCGGCCTCCTGCTTGTCCCTCGCACCCTCCGCTCTACCATTGGAGGCCACGCTTTCAGCCACTATGCTCTGAAACCTTGGGACACTCTCCCTCGATCCCTCCGCCTTTGCCTCTTCTCTCCCTTTTTCAAGTCTCACCTGAAAACCTTTGTTTTTGACCGTGTTTATGGTCACCTCTCCCCCCACCCCGTGAAGAGGGCGCTATATAAGTGCAAGTTGTTACTGTTGTCATCAGAAAACTATTTAAAAAAAACTTTAGCATATTTTTGAAAATTAACATTATCTGCCACACATGACTGTCTCCATTATAAATGCCATTCGCTTTGTTTGTGTACATTTAATAATAATAATCCTTGCATTTGATATAGCGCCTTATCACGTCATCGAGATGTCTCAAAGGGCTTCACAGAATGTAGTGTAAAGTGAATTGACGATATTTCGTGAGCGAAATGATACCAGTACGATCCTGGTGCCATTTCTTGAGCAGCTTGGGGTCGCCGCCGGACTGATTTACCAAACCCTTGTGTTGAGGTATGGTTTCTGGATCAATTCTCTTCGGCTGTGCCTTCTCAAATCACCTTCTGAAAACCTTCCTCTTTGACCGTGCTGACGGCACCTGACTTGGGGTCAGACTCCACCACTGTTACACACTCTGAGACACTACCATGAGTGGAGGGCGTTATATCAGTGCAAGTTGTTGTTAACGTTGTGCCAGTAGCACTGATTTTGTTGCCACTCAGTCACCACAGGGATGGGGTGAGGGAAACAGGTCGCCAACGGGTAGCAATCAGTGGTGGCCGACAGCTTTGGTTGCCCACAAAATAACTTAAATGTTTTCTGTTGGAACCTATGCTATTTTGTTGCTTCTTTGCTATTTTGTTGACCGTCACTGCCAGTGCCGGTCCCACACTGCGCTCTGGGAGTTGCAGTTTCTCAGGAGCGGCGGATGGACTACAAGACCCAGAGTGCACACACTGGATCTCCTCTCGTTTGCCGTTTCCTGTCGGGAAGCGGTACTCCTCGCAATGGGTTAGTCCGCGCGGGGCCCTCGCGAGTGCTACTATAGAGAGAGCGATAAGGAGGTCTTTATCAGTTTGTGGACGCCTCTGAGGGAATAGAGAGCAGGTGTCGGTGTAGGTGTCGGGGTCGGCCGGTGCCGGGGGGTACCTTGCAGGCATCTGAGTCTTCGCGGCTCCGTCCGGGCAGCAGCTGAGTGTCACTGGACTGGGCGGTGGGGGAAGGGTTGGGAGGTGAAGGTGGGGCTGACGAGGACATGTCCGTCGTTGACATTGTGTGGTATTTGGGGCTTTATTAAATTTAATTAAATGAAATTACAACGAGAAATCCTGAAGAGAGGCCCTCGAGTGCCAAAGGAAGCGGTAGTTGTGAGGTGTGTGGGCGCTGGTGTCCGGGCGGCCTCTCCCTGCGCGGCGCTGCGCGGCGCTGCTCTGCTCCGGCCTCGCGCCCTGTCCGTTAGGAGCAGTTGGAGCGCGGATTCCAGAAGCCCCGCGCGAGGCTCCTCCAACCGCCGTTCGAGAGCTGTGGCTCTGCCGCGGCAATGTGGTCAGGTTGGGCGGGTTCACGCCCGATGGGGCGGGTTTGTGCTGTGCGACGGAATATCGCTTTTTTTTTGGCAAACTTTTTAACTGTTTCATTTAAACCGCAAAACGTTTGTTGTCTTTCCCGTTTCTCATACAGTTTCAAAAGCATTAACTGAGTTGGCCACGTTGCTGCCCGCAAGCAGACGAGGCCTACTATTGGGCTACTTTGGGCTACAAACGTATTGCAGTCAGTCAGTCAGTCAGTCAGTCAACAACTTGCACTTCCATAGCGCCCTCCACTCAGTGTAGCGTCTCAGAGCGCCTAACAGTGCTGGAGCCTGACTCCGAGCCGGGGGGGAGGGGGGCGTAAGCCCGGCCCAACAGGAAAGTTTTCAGCCGGGACTTGAGAGAGGGGGCGCAAGGCGGGGGATTGAGGAGAGTGTCCCCGAGTTTCAGGGCGTAGTGGCTGAAAGCACAACCTCCGATGGTGGAGCAGATTGTGCTCTGAGGGACGAGCAGGAAGGCCGGTGCCAGTCCGGCAGAGGCGCTGGCAATGGTGGATTGGGGAGTGAGGAGGTAGGGAGGTGCCGGGAGTGAATGGATTTGAAACGGTCAGTCAGTTAGTCAGACTCGGTCTGTAGTGCTCTCGCCTCCGAGTCTCAATGTTTCAGGTTCAAGTATCCACAGTGTTGGGACTTTAAGTTCACGCAGTTTGGGCTGACACTCCAGTGTAGTGTCGGGAGGGGGAGAGAAAACACTGTTTGGTCACAGATGCCGTCCTTCCCATGAGACGTTAAACCGAGACCCCATCTGCCTGTTTCGAGTGAACAAGATCCCACGGCGCTACTCGAAACAGGAGTTTTCTCCCCCCGTGTCCTGGCTGACGATCCCTCCTTACATAAAAATGTCCTTCACTTCATGGCTGTTTGTGGGACATCGCAGTGTGCAAATTGTCTGACTTTGAGCTGTCCTTCCGACACGAAAGGCTCTATATTAAATGCAAGAATTATTATTATTATTGATAGGTAGAATAGGATTAAAATCTTTCTGGTTTGGAGTTCAATATAGAATCATTTGAGCCATAGACTGAAGGGCAGATACAAGACTGTATTGGAAATATAATGCAAAATTGTAATCCTAATAATTCTTGTATTTGATTTAGACTCTTTCACATCAGGAGGATGTCTCAAAAGTGCGTCACAGGATTTGCTATAAAGTGTAGTGAGCGTATACTTGACGGGCAAATACTGTCAAATACTTACTTTATTCCTCTTCACTGTGTTAGGGTCTCCTCTGAAATGCTGAATTAAAGCCAAGAGAAATTGGATGTATCGTTGCCAACATGCCATCAGTACGACAAGTTGTGAGCTGTATACAGAAACTTATTCTGTATGAAACCAGAGCAGTATGTATGACTTTACATGTTTGTTAATTTACTTGCATTCATGCGTCTTGTTTGCAATTTTCCAAAATTGGTTAATACTGTTTATTCATAGAGCAAATGATGAAGTTTTTCCATAAAAAGAATCCAAGCCTTTCACTTATATCACATCTGCAGCATTAGAGTTAAAATTGTCACATCTTTTTCAGCAAGGTGTTTGTAGCATTTGGGTACAGTAAAATAAATACTGTTGCTGGTATCATCTCTGGTACCTTGCTCAAGTGGTCATTCGTATTTTAGGGTGCAAAGGGTTAAGAGCTCAGTTTTTGTTTGGGTGAGTAAGGCTGCAGCAGCTCCTTTAACGGAGCACTTCCTTCTTGGTAAACCATTTCTTGCACAGAGTTTGTTCCTTTTGAGAATGCTTGATTGGGAATTATCTCTCTTTTAGAAGTGCCAAAGAGAGAACGTACAATACAGGAGACAGTGAGAGAACATTTTAATACAGAGTTTGAGAAGCAGCATGCAGGTAGTCTAGTGAGTTGAGTCCTGGTGATAGGAGCTAGATTGTACCTACAGATTTCAGCACATTGAGTTCTTAAGTTCAGCTGTGCCATTAAAGAGACGTACTTTCTTAAAGGAGAGATGGTAAATTCAAGGGTACTCTTTACCTCCTGCAAAGAATATGCCCTGTGTTCATCCCTCAGTATACCTTATGTTCTAATCTGAAGGTCTTTATGTACCATGGAACTGCACCATTACAAAATACTTAATATCAGAGTCAGAAAAGTGTCATTTGTGCTCTTTGTTTCTAATACTATCTTTCTCTCTTGCCCCTTCCCTACTTTTCTTCCATCACTATTGCTCCTACACGTTAGTACACCCTAAATATGGGCATTGTGGTGTCCTGCAGCTCAGTGGTTAGAGCATTCGCCTCGCAAGCAAGAGACCTGGGTTCGATTCCCGGCAGGGTAAAACGTTGTGCAAGTTTCCTTACTCCACACCCCTCTGTTTACCTAGCAGTCAGTAGGAACCCGGTTGATAAGTCGATTGGCAGATTGCTTTTTTGGGGGTGATAATTCCTTCAAAAAAATAATACTAATAAATTGGTCACTTCCATCCATGACTGTTTGTGGGACACTACTGTGTGCAATTGGCTGCACAAAATATACAGTCAATTCACTTTACAGTATATTCTGTGAAGCTCTTTGAGACATTTCGAAGATGTGAAAAGACGCTATATCAAATGCACTTATTATTATTATTGTGGGTCCTTGACTTGGTGGCATATTTGAGCCAGGAGTGTGAGTGAACCATGGCTGTTTTACTCAGGAAGAAAGATAAGGGGCAACCAATCAAAGTTTCTTCGCTGCATCTACAAGTGTTTTTCCTGGTGCAATATCTATCAGTAATTCTCATTTATCTTATGCAGTAGTGTTATAGCTGCACGCTTATGAGTTTAATTAAGTCACCAAACTGTTCTATTAGTTGAGTTCAGGTGTGTTCAAGCATCTGCATCTTATAAAAGTGTGTGTGATTCACAGTAAACATGATATTCCATATGTCATTATCGGAGAAGGGGTAGAGGAGGAGAAAGGAATTTTATTTTGAAGAAACAAATTACAATACAGTAGAGAAGTGACAATGTCTTTTCCTCGTGGTCACATTGTATAGGCAGCCATAATGTATATGAAGGAAAATGTCTTGTTAGACCCTCAACTATGCTTTCTACCCCACATCGGTGCCATGACCCGATCCGTGTTTTGCCATCTCCGCAACATAGCCCGGCTCCGCCATTGCCTCTCCCCTCAGGCCACCAAGACCATCATCCACACATTTATTACATCCAGGCTCGACTCCTCTAACTCTCTGTTTGTCAGCCTCCCAAACTCCTCCCTCCACAGGCTGCAGATCATCCAGAACTCTAGCGCCCGTGTCCTCCCGCACCATGGTCCGTGACCCTATCACCCCCATCCTCATCTGGCTCCACTGGCTCCCCATTCCTCAGAGGATAAATTTCAGAATCCTTGTCCTCGCCTTCAAAGCCCTACATGGCCTTGATCCTTCTTACCTCTGCGACCTGCTAACTCTACATCAACCTGTCCACTCCCTCTGCTCAGCAGGTTCCGGCCCACTCCATGTCCCCCGTGCCCTCAGTCACACTCCTATCCATACCCTCCCTGCCCCCCACTCCTCCTGATCCCAACCCCCTGCTCGGGTCCAAGTCCCTGACTGTCCAGCACCTTGGAACGTCCTCCCGACGTGAAAGGCGTGATACAGTTGTAATTTGCTGTGGTTTTCAAAGCTCCATTCATTCTCGTCTCCAGATATTGGATGATCAATACACTTTCTAACTGTGGTTTCCAATAAGTTACAGCCGGTGTTGAAAGACTTATTTTTTTAAAAAAAAGACAAGATCTTAAAAGGTTAAATACTTGAAGACAATTTGAGGTATGTTTGGGTGAATTGGAAATTAAATTCTAATTTTAAACTTATTTTTTCTTCATCAGCGATATTTCCTAGTTGGAAGCAATCATGCAGAAACCAAATATCGTGTTCTGAAAATAGACCGTACAGAGCCCAAGGACTTGGTGCTTATTGATGATGGAGTGAGTACAACAATAAGATGAATCTAGATTTTTTTATTATACAATTTATCTCACACTTGTTCATTGCTAAACTAGAATCACTTTCTGTAATTTTTTTTTATGACAGCTTTACGTATGCATTTGGTCTGATTGTGGAAAAGAGCTGAATTACAGTCTTAATGTCGAATCATTTAAATGCATAATTCAGCTTTGTGTAAATGTTATAGTGCCACTAAAAAATTAAATAATCACCCCTTTGATTTATAAATTTTCAAATCCTATTTAAATTCTCAATCTCTGCTAACCAACAATTTGGTCCAATGTAATATTGGTAAACAATGCCATGCATTACAAAGAAATTTCTAAAGAATGTACATCACGGAAACGGGCCACTGGTCCATGCCAGTGTTTATACTCCACACAACTTTTCACATATTCATTACTCCCTTCCATGCTTTCCTTTTCCCCTCTTTCTCATGTGAAGTTCTAGCTTTCTCATAACCATTCATTAATCCGTTCTGAAATGCAATTCTATGTTGTGCCATCAGTATACTGTACATGAGGAAATCCTGTGATTCTGAAAGAAGATGTGACTGACACTTTGTTTACTAATATAGACAGTCATAATGAAATGTAAGTTATGCTTAATGACATACTTTCCATTTATGATTCCAAGTGTGCAGTAAGCTATAGGAAATTAGCATTTGCTATTTTTGATCTGTAATGATTTGCATGCCACTTTCCTAACAAATAATAATCCGTATTTGATACAGTGCCTTATCACGTTGTTGAGATATATCAAAGCGCTTCATAGGGTCGGATCTGTATAAATCGTATATTCGCATAAGTCGTGCATGTGCCCAAGTCTCATTGAATTTCCTATTAAATCCACTTAAATTTATCTGCACTAGTGGTATAAACAATCGCGCAACTCATAACACGTCTACTGCACTTGCTGCTACCAAACTTACTGGCTGCTGGGTCAAAACTTTGTTTTGCTCAAATGGAACACCTCACGTGTGCACTCTAACCCTCTCTGCACTCTCCCTCTAGCAACCGTCACCACCGCAGAGTGGGGGGTTGGGGGAGCTGAGAGGAAAGAGTGTCACCTCATCACGTGGTGAAGGAACAACAACAACAAAATGACATTGTATAGCGCCTTTCATGTCGGGAGGACATCCCAAGTTGCTGGACAGACAGAGTTACAGACTCGAGCTGAGGGTGGGGGAGGGTGGAGGGCGGGAGATCGAAAGCACGGTCGAAGAGGAGGGTCTTGAAGGTGGCAAGGAAGGTGGCGAGACGGAGGGACTGCGGGTTGGAGTTCCAGAGTGCAGAGTGGCGGGAGGCCCGCCCGCCTATAGTGGGGCGAGCAAGGAAGTGGAGCAGGCCAGAACCCGCTGAGCGGAGGCAGCAAACAGGGTGGTAGGGGGTTAGGAGGTCGGAGAGGTAGGGGAGAGCAAGACCATGGAAGGCTTTGAAGGAGAGGTCCAGGATCTTGAACTGTATCCTCTGTGTGATGGGAAGTCAGTGGAGTTAGGCAAGGATATAATAATAATAATACTTGCATTTGATATAGCGCTTTTCATATCTTCTAGACGTCGCAAAGCGCTTCGCAGGATATACTGTGAGCGAAATGCAGCAGCCAAATTACGCACCGCAGTGTCCCACAAACAGTCATGGATTGAAGTGATCAATATAGTATTGTGTTTTTTTTCTTGAGGGATTATTATTACATTATAATATTATTATAATTTTTAATATAATATATAGTTATATTATAAGGATAGGGGTGATAGGGTTACAGAGCCTTGTTGTTGTTGTTCCTTCACCACATGATCAGGTGACACTCTTTCCTCTTGCTCCCCCAACCCCCCACCACTCTGCCGTGATGATGGTGATGTTACGGTCGTGAGAGGGAGGGCTCCCAACAGTTCGTGTCATGACTGGAGAATAGCCTCATAACTACAAGAGCAATGTTGTACTCGCTTTCCTCCATTCAGGTTTCCTCCAACTAACAACTGTGTAAGGTATAAGGCTACACATATCTCCCTTTACAACTGAAACAATCAAGTGGACTCTTACCATCCTCCTTAAATAATTCACACAGAAAAATACAATAAAATTGGGGAAGGCAACAGGAATATTCAAATAAAACATTTACAGATAATAAAAAAATAGGTTGAAAAATACATTAAAATTGTTGTTCCATGAAATGATGAGTCTGAAAATATTCATTTCTAAACTTTGCCTTAATGTCACCAGCCAGTTCAGTACAGTACAAGGGTATTTATGTATCATATTAAGTCATATAAAATCTGATTTTTGCATAACTTTGCATGTGTTGTATATGATTTGACGTATGCAAGTTTGACATAACTCATACTTTGTATAAGTCATATTAATTCTTAGGTCCCAACTGATATGACTTGTGTGCTGTGTACTGCACAGTGGATTGACTGTATTTTGGAGGTGAAACGTGGCACCCATTTTACACACAGCACTGTCCCACAAACAGCCATCGAGTGAGTGACCAAATTTATTTGGGAAATTGTTGTCCAAGACACCAGGAGAAACTCCCTTCTCTTTTCGAAGAGTGCCATGGGAATTTAAACGTCCACCTGAACAGACAGATGGGATCTCAGTTTAATGTCTCATCCGAAGTACGATACTTCTCAACAATGCAGCACACCCCCAGTGCTGTAAAATACCCAGCTATTCGTGCTTGGCTGAATCAATCCATATACTCATTTATAAATGAGTATAACCATTTTAAAATAGACTATTCTCTTGCCTCCAATTATTATAAGAATATTTCATATTTAATATTTCATGTAGATCAGCAAGCAAATGCTCAAATACCAAATTAATCTTGATGTTAAAAAATAAACTAATTATGAATATTATTTACTGGCTACTCTCAACCGCTTTCTGACTAGGTTATTGCATTGCGTGTGTAAATATATATATATATACTAAATTTAATGTATATACTATATACTACATATATACACTCTATGTAATGTAATTTATACTGCACCTTTATATTGATGCGGCATGTCTATTAAGAAACCCAAACTATCAATGCAGTGTATATCTCGATCTAGCAAAAGACTTGTGAACTTCAATGTTAGCTCATTCTTTCCTGAAATCCCTATAGCCTTGATGAGATGAATGACTGAGCACTAATTACTAGAATGCTGCATTACTTTTGGATGAAACACTTTTGTATAGGAAGTCAATCCATTTGTCACACCAAAACCAAAGTGTATTTTATGTGAATCTTATTCAGCAGCTATTTTAACTTGTTGATAATTGCTCATTTTGTTATGACACATTGTTTCATTATGAGGGTATGTTAGGTACAAATGTCAGCTACAATTAGACTAACCATTCTCTTGCTCTAACAAGTACATAATGTCAGGTGTAGCTACAAATTAGGTTCTAACATATGCATGTAATAATTAAATTGTATTTTGTAAACCATTTTAATTGTGAGTTCCAACATGATTCTTGTTAGCTATTTCATCTTTCTCTCTACTTGATGTTGACATTGAATGGAAGGATGTAAGAACATATTTTGGTTAAAAGTATTGTTTTATAATCCTTGCATACTGTTTATGAGTAATGCACATTTTTAAGGTAATATGACTGCAGGAATTGTCTTTCATGTTTTCAAATCTGTACGGTATATTGTGCATAATCCAGATGTCCATATTACCTGGTGTAATTGAGGTCCAGTTTTGCAGTTCTTATGGCTCATTCGATCAATGCTTAATGTGGTGCTAAGCCATAAAGATCAAGAAGACCTCAAGTTCAACCATTGCTTTGTGCTCAGCAAGAATTGTGTTACAATTGGGTTCACTGCTTCTTGAATAGGGAAATGGAAAAGAAGCAAGGGTTCCTGCTCCAGAAAATGTCAGCGGACCCATCTGTAAACTGCTTTGTGTGGATTTGATTTGGCTATGTTTCTTCTTGCTATGAAATTGCCTGCCAATACTGACTTAGTTATGCTGCTATATAAAGAATGATCATCATTTTCCTGTGCAACAGTATCTCAGCAAAAATCTATAAAAGTTTGTGTGTTTGGAATAAATACTGCCAATTTGTTTTGTTATAGTTGGACAGCTTTTTTTGTAAACTTTGGATTGCAAACAAATTCAGCATGATTCCTATTAACAAAGCTGGTTGCAAAGTGACAGTAAAATATTGCCATTACATTTTTTCTGCTTTAATTTGGTTCAGCATATATATAACCAGCAAGAGGTTCGGGATCTCTTGAGTCGCCTCGACATGGGAAATCGAACCAAGATTGGGCAGAAGGGATTATCTGGGCTTTCACGTGCTGTATCAGCTTTTGGCATTGTTGGTAAGAAGTTGGTCAGTTTTTCTAATAATTTTGCTTGCAAACTGCTCTATTACAGTTTGAGTTATAAATGTGAAACTTGCCAACAGAGCAATACGCCAACACAGTGATATCATCTCAGAGTCAGCAGAAGGCTTATTGTAATATGCCTAACATTTGTATTGGGCAAAGTTTTAGAAGCTATAATACAGGATAATATTAATAATCACTTGGAAAGACACTGTCTGGTTAAAGATGGTCAGCATGGATTTCTTAAATGCAAATCTTGCTCAACAAATCTAGTGGAGGTCTTTGACAAAATAATCTAGAGGAAAGAAGTAATACTGTGGTTATATATGGATTTTCAGAAGGATTTGATAAGGTGCCACGTGGAAGGCTTTTAAAAGACTACGGTGCATGTTATAATGGAAAGATAGCAGTTTGGATAGCAAGTTGATTAAAGGACAGGAAATGGAGGGTGGGAGTAAAGGTTTGTGACATTCTGATCATCTGTGATCAGGGCTCCCTCTGCCTCCTTTTCCTCCTCGACATCTCTGCCGCCTTCGACACTGTCAACCACTCCATCCTCATACACCGCCTCTCCTCTTTACTAATGTTCGTGGACCTGCCCTTGCCTGGTTCGATTCCTATCTCTCTCACTGCCTCTACTTTGTTGCTTCTAACGGTTTCTTTTCCAGCCCCCGCACTGTCACATCTGACATCCCCCAGGGCTCTGTCCTTGGCCCTCTCTTTAATATCTACACGCTCCCCCTTGATGACATCATCTGCAGACACGGGGTCAACTTCCATACGTATGCGGATGACACCCAACTCTATCTTTCTGCCTCCACCCTCAACTCCAGGACCACTGCTGTCCTGACAGACTGCCTGTCGGACATCAAGTCCTGGATGAGGGCAAACATCCTACAGTTGAATGTGAACAAGACTGAGGCCCTCCTGATTGGCTCACACCAGCGCCTCAGCACCTCAGGCTCCGGCAGCATCAACCTCCATGGTTGCACACTTCAACTCACCAACCAGTCAGGAACCAAGGTGTCTTGTTCCACCCTCAACTGTCTTTTCTTCCCCACATCCAAGCCATGACCTACTCTGCCTTCCCTCGCCTCCGTAACATCACCCGACTCCGCCATTACCTCACCCCTCAGGCCGCTGAAACTCTTGTTCATACCTTCATCACCTCCAGGCTCGACTGTGAAAATGCTCTGCTTGTCGGCCTTCCCAACTCCTCCCTCCACAGGCTGCAGATAATCCAGAATTCTGCAGCCCGTGTCCTCTCCCGCACCAAGCTCTGTGACCCCATTTCCCCCACTCTTGCCCGATTTCCATTGGCTCTCCATCCTTCAGAGGATCCAGTTCAAGATCCTGGTACTCACCTACAAAGCCCTCAATGGTCTCGTCCCCATTCTACCCCTGTGACCTCCTAACCCCCTACCAACCTGCTCACTCCCTCTGCTCAGCCGGCTCCGGCCTGCTCCACCATTGGCTGGAGAGCCTTCAGCCACTCTGCCCCCAACCTCTGGAACTTCATCCCCCAATCACTCTGCCTCTCCTCCTCCTTAGCCTCCTTCAAGTCCCGCCTCAAAACCCTCTTCTTCGACCATGCCATTGGTCACTTCCCATCCCCTCCCTTCTCCCCCCTGACCCCAGCTCGGGTCTGAAATGCTGTACACTGTCCAGTGCATTGGGACGTCCTCCCGACGTGAAAGGCGCTGTACAAATGTAATCTTATCGTTGTTCTTGTTGTTTTCTATTTGCTATGGAGAGATGTAAAACGTCGTGTCACCCAGGGATCTGTGTTGGAACTACTGCTTTTCTACACTACTTAGTTTGGATCAGCATAGAGCAGGAATTCAACTTGGAACTTTCTTGGTCTGTATAGTTTGGTACTGCACCAAGCCAACAAGGGCGTTCCAGTGAGCAAGTCCTTCACATGAATTTACTTTCTCTATTTTAAGTAAGTGTTGAATTCTCTCTCTTTCCACAGGGTTTGTAAGATTTTTAGAAGGTTACTATATAGTATTAATAACTAAGAGAAGAAAACTTGCAGATGTTGGTGGCCATTCAATCTACAAAATAGAAGATACCAACATCATTTACATTCCAAATGATTCTGTTCGAATTGCTCACCCAGATGAACCCAGGTAAGCAAATAATCTTTTTGTCCTAACTTGTAACATTATAAAATACATAATCTAAATTAGTTGCTTACCTTAAAAACTGAATCTGGACTATCAGAGCTCATGAATTCAGTGCACAAAGTCTTAAATTGTTCAGTCCAGTCATGTATCCTGTGGATTCAGACTCTGCTTCTGCACTGCCCACAGTACCGAGATTGCCTTGTACAATACTGTTGTCTCTCCTTTAAACTCCATATCCGTGCCTTGACCTGTTCAGCTTTCCCTCAACTCTGAAACATTGCTCGCCTCTGCCATTACCTCCTATTCGTGCTGCCGACACCGGTGTCCAGATTAGACTACGTCAACTCTCTGCTCACTTGACTTCCCAACCCTTTCACTCAACAAGTTGCGGATGAAGCAGAAATTGCAGGCCGATTCCAACCTTCAGCTCGGGTGTAAACCCTTAACTGTCAAGCTTCTTAGGTCATCCTACTGCCGTGAAAGATGCTATATAAATGTTAGGTTGCTGTTGTACACATCTATGAGATCCCCTCTTAGTCGTCTTCTCAAATGGTACAATTTGTTTAGAAATTCAGTTCAAATATTACAAATTTTACGGACCCGCAAAAACGTATTGACTGTATTAGTATTAAAAATTTAACTGTCAACTGTTCTAGGTATGTGAGAATCTTTCAGAGTGTGGATCTCTCCAGCAATTTTTATTTTAGGTAAGTGTTTACTTATACTAGTGTATGTTCAATAGTCTTTCTTAAACAATTAAGTATTACAAACAGTTCTGGAATTCCAATATCCTTCATGTTCCCAGAGGTAGGTTTATGTTTTGTCAACTGGACATGAGAACAATTTCTTTTCAGGATTTCTTAACTTTGGGAACACATTTGTTCCCCTTCCCACTCCATGTAAAGATTTTACTTATGTTTTTTTAAAAAAATTATACAAAAATCAGCTTGATTTGTAAATTCTTTGTTTCCTTGTTACCCAGTAATAGACCAAGGTACTGCTCTTGCAGCAGAGATGGATCTGATAACTGCTTGATGATCTGTCCCTTTTTCTGAAACTCTAGGATTCTATTTTACCATATCCAGTTTTGAAAAACAAAAACTGGAGTATACATTAGGATTATTAATCTTACTAAATTTAGAGAAAATTGAACCTGCTGTGAATCTCATTGCCATATAGAAGGTTACTTTGCTCTAGTAGTGGGTGTATGATTCTATATATAGCTCCAGAAGGTTTCTGTTGAATAAGAGAGCCTCAAATGAAAAGTCCATTAAGAACTTAAAGACTTTAACTCAAAAGTTCATTGAGATTTGTGGCAGAAACAAACTGCTTCCAGCAAACCTTACAACAATGATATAGGCAGAAATTATACCTGGGTCTAGATTTACAAATTGGCTGCTACGTTTGGCCACAAAAACACTTTACTTGCTTCATGTTCCTGTTCTGCCTGCCCTCCATCGATGGTGAGCTTTTCTGTCCCTATTCTCTGGAAGTCCATCCCAGAGTCCCTTCACCTTGCCGCTTCCTTCGCCTCCTTCAATGTCCGTCTCAAGACCTTTTTGACCACGTTTTCGGTCATCTTCCCACCACCATCTGTCCCGAATTTAACTGCCCCAGCTCCTGTTCAAACACTTGACTGTCCAGTGCCTCCAGATGTGCTCCCACTGTGAAAAGTGCTATATAAATGCAATTTATTGTTGTTGGATTTTTGGTGGTGGCTTCCTGTTATGAAAGGCACTGTACCAAATGTAAGAATTATTATAGATTATTATTACTAACTATTTAGTTTGTTTTTTAAAGCTTCCAGAATTTGGTAAATTGTTGAATTTGGTCTTAGCTTTGAAGCTGGTTTTCCATTCTTGAAAGAGCTTATATATTTCTTTGCATTTTTCAATGTAGGAATAATTTCTGCCTGTGAAGAGAAACTTTGATTTTCCTTTTCTTAGCTATAGCTATGACTTGACTCATTCCCTTCAATTCAATCTGAGGGTATTGAAGATGCCCAGTGAGAGGTTGAAAAGTGAAATCTTTCGGCAGGAGAGCTTTGATATCTTTGAAGATGAGGGCGTCACTACGCAGGATGGAACTAGTGAGCACTCAGTATATATTCTTGTAAATTTGTGATGCATTTATTTAGTCCATCAAAAGGCATTAGAAAATTATGGATCTGGTTGCGGTTCTTACAATGCGTTTTGCCCACAAAATATACAGTCAATTCGCTTCATCAAGATCTAGGACCAATAATTTACACTGGACTCTGTGCTGGGAGTTCCAAATGGAGCAATATGTTTGAGATGATGAAAGAGCTCATTTGAAAGGCCTTGGGAAAGTACATTTTGGGCTAAGAATATGTAATGGGATGCTCCTTTGGGCTACCAGAGAAAGACTAACCTTATTGCTACAATATACTATTTCAGCAAATACCATCAGTTCTCTTGAGTCTGGTCGAATCATTTTTTTAAAAAATGAAACAATAATATTAAGCCCATTAATAGTCATGTTATTCCATTTAAGACAGGTGTAAAATAACAGTGCTGGTGCAGTTTGAATTTCCCAAAATAAACGCAATAACATTGCCATTCTTATTGGCAAGTATAAATTATAACAAAGTGCATGGATTATGAAAAGAAACTGACCAATATCCTATTTTAAATCTTGCTGAGTACTTCAATAACGTGTTGCGTCTCTTAATACATTTTTAATATTTATCATTTCAGCTCCAAGTGTTCACTATGGCATTCGGAACGAGCCATACCTGAAATATGCTTGGAATGGTCACATCTTAGAAAATCTCAAAGACACCGTTCACCATGATTGGTTATTGTATATTATTCATGGCTTCTGTGGTCAATCAAGTATCCTTTGATGAGTACCTTGCATTACATTCATACAACCAAACTGATTTGAAAATATTTTGGATACTGGATTTGAAATGATATTCCTCTTTCATTTTTGGCCTCGTGGAAGCAAGGTTTCTCTAGAGTGGTCAACATGGTATTTCTAATTTATGTATAGGCAGTCATTCTGGTTAGAGTATAAAAACACCTCATTGTGATATATTTTGTCTTTGGACCATTCTAAGAACAATAACAGGTCAAAATTCAAGAGTTAGTATCATAGGATACTGCTATCACTTCTCTATGTTCAACCACAAAATACACAGATAGCACTTTATAATATATTCTGTGAAGAGCTATGAGACATCTCGACAGCATAATACGCTGTATGAAATGCAACGATTATATTATTTAAAGATCACATAAGGAAGTGATTAATTTAGCTTTAGAAGCAATGGCTCAACAAGTTGCTATTCTACAATATAATGTTAATAACTGTGTCACCTTAGCTCAGTTGGTTGGACTCTCACCCTTAAGTTTGTAGGTTCAAGCCCCATGTTAGGATTTTCAACTCAGTCTAGGCTGACACTCCAGTGTAGTTTTGGGGGAGCACAGTATTGTATTGTAATAAGGTCCTGTCCAATTAAGTTGGATGTTAAAGATCCCAGGATACCATTCAAAAAGAGAAGGGAGTTTCTCTTGGTAGCCAACAATCTTCTAAATAAATTAGTTATTCACTTCAAGGTTATTTAAAGGACCTGTTGTGTACAAATAGGTTGCCACATTTATACAGAGTTACATTTATACAGAGTTACTACACATGACTGAAAATATCTGTAAAGCTCTTTGACATGTTATAGGGTCATGAAATTCACAAATTATTATTATAAAACTAAAGATTAAAATATTCAAATTGTTTTTCTGCGACTTAACATGATCCGTCCTCCAGAACTGTTGATTTATGGTCGACCAGTTTACGTCACCTTGATAGCGAGAAGATCTAGCAAGTTTGCTGGAACCCGTTTCTTGAAGAGAGGTGCAAACTGTGAGGTAAATATTGGTTGTAGAAGTATTGTTTTACCACATGCAGGAAGTTGTGCCTTATGTACACTTCCAGTAATTGATTTGTGTGGAATTGTTTGTGCTGTAGCCCAACAGGTATCATCAGTACAAATCCACATGCAACCTCTTCATCTCCAAATAAGCTGCTGGATATAGGTAATAAAATTAAGACTGAATCCATGAACACGGTCCACTAAGTGACCAATTGAATTTGTGAGACATCACAATGCAGTTGTGAATAAAATGGGGCGGTATTGGATGGTCTTAATGTGAATATAGAGGTGGGGGAAAACAATCGAGGAAAAGGATCCAGTATACTAAGAAAATAAAAGCTTAAAAGTACTAGGGATTGGGTAATACAATTGGTTAAAGCAGGGTGGTCCAACTGGCAAACCAAGGGATGTTTTCATCAGCTCCACCCGCTCCCTCCCTGGCGAATCATCCTCATGGCAGCGGCAGGAGCAGGTGGTTGGGAGGATGCAGTTGGTACGGAGACCCAACTTTGCTTGCTTTCTCCTCAGCTTGGGAGGGGCTTCCTGACAGACTGCAGCAATGATCCAGCCTCATTATTTCCATTTCCCGTAGCTCAATGCACTGCAGTCTGTTAAGAATTCCTTCCTGAGCTGAGGGGAAGACAAGCGGCTCTCCGTATCATCTGTGTTCTTCCATCCACCAGTTCCTACCGCTACCAGATAGTGAGCTGGGCGGGTGATTGAGAGAAAGAGGGGAAGAGGGGGAGAAGCGAGAGTGTGATAGAAGGGAAGAGAGACCGTGACAGAGAGGGAGGAGAGAGAGAGTATGAGAGGGGAGTGTGAGAGAGGGGGAGTGAGAGTAATTGACAGAGAGAGTGTGTGTGAGAGGGGGAGGGAGAGTGATTGCAAGTGAGAGTACAACGGGGAGAGATGGAGAGAGACATCTGGCCCTCAGCAGCCAAAAGGTTGGACCACCCTGTGTTAAAGCATGCAGCCCTTCGCTCCTCGGACACAGTTTTGTTGCCAGCTCAGAGCGATGGCTAAACATTTCCTCTCTGTGCTTTATAAGACTTTGTTTGACAATTGAATCTTAATGAGGGCTTGAGAGGACAAATGATGAACTATTTCTGCTGGTAAGTGTTTTGAGGACAAGCGTGTATGAATTTAACATTGAAACTGGGTGCATGGAAGGGGAAGTTATCAACAATTTTAGTTACCCAGAAGGCTAACAGACAAGGGAGGGGGGTGAGGCGAAGGGATTCCAGGATGGAGTTCCAGAAGATGGGGGCAGAAAAGCTGAAGGCCCGACCACCAATGGTGGGGTGGGTATGGTGGGGACATGAAGCAGGCCAGTGCCCGCTGAGCGGAGGGAGTGGCCAGTTTGATATGGTGTTAATAGGTCGCAAGGAGGAGCAAGGCCGTGGGGGGTTTTAAAAGTGAGGACAAACTATTTTAGACTCGATCCTCCAAGGGATGGGGTGTCAGTGGAGCTGGGAGAGGATAGGGGTGATCGGTTCACGGAGCTTGGTACAGTAGAGACATAGGCTTCAGAGTTCTGCATTATCCGCAGCTTGTGGAGGGAAGATTTGGGAAGTCTTCCAAGTGGATAGTTAGTCTGGTCAAGCATGAACCTCAAGAATGAGGGTCTCCCCAGCCAGAGGTGGGGGAAGGCAGAATGGGTCATGGCACGGATGTGTGGTTTAAAGGACAGTTGAGCATCAAACAGGACACCAAGGTGGGTACAGACTCTGTGAGATATATAGTTTATAATTATATTATAAATGTAAACTAGCAAAAAATGAAATACATTGATCATACTTTTCACTCTGTTAGGGGGATGTGGCAAATGAAGTGGAGACTGAGCAGATAGTCCATGATGCCTCTATGACATCCTTTTCTGCTGGAAGCTACTCTTCCTACGTACAGGTTAGAGGTTCGGTCCCACTCTACTGGTCTCAGGACATTTCAACCATGATGCCCAAACCGCCTATTACATGTAAGATCTTAAGTAGGAAATTGTGTGTGTGTGTGTGTGTGTAGTAATAGTAATTGGAAACATAGTTCAAGCGGACGTAGTGAGTGCAACTACATTTTGTTTGTAAGTAATATCTATTTATCTCTATTTGGTTGTGTCAGCCTTGCTCATTGGATATCATTCTTACCTCTGACACAGAAGGTTGAGAGTTCAAGTCACAAATTTGAACCTCACTTGGGACTTGGAACTCATAACGTCTGGGTCAGGGAAGTCTCCCTCCCCCCAACTCCACCACTGTCAAGCGCTCTAGACGCTACTCTCCTTCCGACTCTCTCCCTCCCCTCTTTCAAAGCACACCAATACCTAATGCTTTGACCACACTTTCGGTGATTTTTTTCCCCTTTATAATAATAATAATCCTTGTATTTGATATAGCGCTTTTCATGACTTCTCGATGTCTCAGAGCGCTTCACAGAATAGACAAAAGTGAATTGACTATATATTTGTGGGCGAAACGCGGCAGCCAATTGCGCACAGCAGTGTCCCACAAACAGTCGTGGATTGAAAATGACCAATTTTATAAATGTTTTTTTTTGTTTTGGAGGGATTATAATCAGGTGTGTGGAGTAAGGAAACTTGCCCAAGGTTTGGTGCCCAGTGGGCAATATTGAGCGCTTTGAGACGTTCTTCCAACGAAAAAAAGGCGCTGTGCAATTTTCTGGAAGGGAAACACAAAACTGTATCTTATGCGGCCTCCGGCCCTCGGCACTCAAAAGTTGGACCACCCTGGTCTGGGCTGACATTCCAGTGCACTAGTGAGGGTATGCTGTTGTTGGAGATGCCGTCCTTCAGATGAGATGTTAAGCTATTGTCTGTCTGTTCAGATGGTCGTTAAACATCCCACAACACTATTCCTAAAGAGAAGGAAGTTTCTGCTGACGTGCAGGCAAACAGACCCCAAGAAAATTGGTAACAAAACATGTAGTCTCTCCACTTTACAATATATTCCATCAAGTGCTTTGAGATGCTCTCCCATCATGAAAGATGCTACACTAAATGCAAGGATTATTATTCTTTGTCTTGTATTACTGTCACTTCCTATCTCTATGCCTGTTCGTCTGTATGGCCTGAGTCTTGTAAATTCTCTTTCACTTGCCTTTTCCCATCTTTTCCTTTCTCTCTTGCACACTTTATAGCTCTGCTATTCCCCCTTCCGCGTGTTTGTGCTTTTAGCTCTCTTGCCTCAATCACAGTCACTCACACCTGTTTCCCACAGAACTATAACTTTAATTTTATCCTATAAAAAGTTTTGAGATTTTTCCTTTGCTGAAAGGCACTAGATAATCTAAGTTGGTTTTATGTTGCAGCAATTAAAAATAGGATGGCAAATAGTTAGCCACGAAATGATTTTATTGTTGACACCTTTTACTCTGCGTGGATACGCTTTAATCACAATAATTCACTGATTTAAACAACTTAACCTGTTATGTACAAACAGTAGATGATTATCATAAAAGACTATACAAATGCAAATTGTTGTTAATTATTATTATATTTCATACTTTACAATTAAGATGAGAATCTATTTCTTAGTCACCTTTTTCATTCTTGTGACTACAAAGCAGCAAAATCAAAGAGCAGAATGCTTCCGTACATAAATGCAAGTTGGTTTTATGTTGCAACTTAAATTGAACTGGTTTTACTTATATTAAGTAATGTTAATGAGCATCCCAGTATATCAGCGTATTTGTATCATTCTGTCCAATCATCCACCCTTAAGATACAGGTTTAGCGAGAAGAGTTTATTAGCTCGATATTTAACAAATGTCTTAGTTTTAACTGAGGAAGTTATAACTTCCCTAGATAGTAAGACGTAATTCACCAAGAGCATTCAGATATTCTTCATTGTTTGGATTAAATCTCAGGGCTTTTTCAAAGCATTCAACAGCCTCTTGCTTCTCCCCATCCAGCTGATGCATGGACCCAAGGAAACCAAAGGCAATGCTGTCTCTTGGATTTCTGGAGAGTCGTCTTTGCATTATCTTTTCCAAATTTTTGCAACATTTCTCTCTATCGTACGACTTGTATTGGACTTTCATTCCTTTCAAGAAAAAATCAGCAGCATTCAAATCATTTTTCTTGTGATGCATTTCAAATAAGCCAACCTTCAAAAACACCAATTGTTTATTTTCAGGACGGGTGTGTTCTAATTTAAGTAGGTTCATGTAGATGTCTTCAGCTTTGCGTTGTTCTTGATTCATTAAACACATTTCTGCGAAGTCCACTTGTGCAGGAATAAATGATTTTTTAGTAAAAATGCCTTTTCAAAATGGGACTTGCAGAGTTCAATCAATTCAGTTCTTGCTTCAAATTCAGCGTTCCTGATGCCTGGATATTTCATCAAATCAATTAACTTGACTCTATAACACAGACCTATCTGATGGTGGAGGAATGATGAGTCTGGTGTGATTGTCATTGCTCTCTTCAGGAGCTCCACAGCTTTATCTATGGCACGAGCTTTTCTTAAAAACTTTGCTGCATAGCGAATCACATATGGACGATTAGGAGAGATCTTCAGTGCCTTCTCAACTAATGTGAAGCCTTCATTTACTTCATTTACTTCTCTTAGTTTAAGAGCCAGTAGCACCATGGCTATGGAGTCATTTGGATCAAGTTCTAACACACGTCGTAATTGTGGTATTGCTTTACTCGGTGCGAGGTTCTCGGCAGTGCCAAGAAATGATTCCAGACGAAACAGAACAGTGGCATAACCCATGTTCCATTCAGTATCATCAGGATCTTCCTCCAGTGCCTTCAGAAAACATTCCTTTGCTTCTTCATAACATATTCCAGTACAATTTAGCAGTGCCCAGCCCTTCTCCCCATATATTTCAGGTGTCATTACTGAATGACGAGATGCATTAGGAAATAGTTTACAGATCCTCTCCAGCTTATCAAGATAGGTCTGGACATCTGTGAGCTGGTCCATGTAATAATATACCCAGGCATAGTTTCCATAGGTGATGATGCTTCTTCTTTCAAAATCATGTTCGTGATTCTTGCGCAGAATCTCTTCAGCTTTCTGTAAGGCTTCAAGCGCCTCTCCGTAATTGTCTTGGAGACAATTTATAAAAGCAAGATAGTTGTAAGGCATGGCTTGGTATTTTATGCCATCGATTATTAATTCTTCCAGTCTTTGCTTTGCATCGTCCAAGTCAAACATTTCCTTTTTAACAGACCATGTGAAGTGGCATTCAAGTTGAAGTAGTTTCTCTTTCAAAGAATCCTTCGATGTGTTGCTGGAAGAAAACAAAATATATCGAAATAATTGGATCTCTTTCACTTTACAATTCTGAGTAGTATTTTCCTGATGATCAGTTCAGTAAATAAACCTTCTGAGAGCTTTCGTTGGACTATATTGAGACTGAATATCACACATGAAAGAATAGTTTCCATTGTTTTTCAGTCTTGTTTTGGTCAACCAAGTGTCTCAAACATTCAAAAACTGATCACCTTGGTTCAGATCCTTCTGACAAAAATAGCTGGACAATTCCACATATGCATGCCACTTACTCATTATAAAATGTTTCTGGAATGGAATGCACTATCTCTCTCCCTGGAGGGACACATCCTGCTCATCTAATTCTGGAGAAGAGTGTATCTTGAGTCAGAAGATTGTGGCTTTGAGCCCCAGTCCCGGCTGCACTCCAGTGCAGGACAACGGGAGGGGGATCTGTCAGTTGGAAAACCAGGGACTTGTCGTAACAACTTGTGTTAACCAGTGCCAATCATGTAGGGTAATGTCTGAAAGCACATTACAGAGACATTGCCAGCAGGGAGACCGAGGGAAAGAAGAAGGTGATTGTAATCACAGATGAACAGGAAGGATTTCAGGAGAATTTAAAGGCTTGTCAGAAAATTTAAATTGGCAGCTCAATAAAACCAATGCCCCAGTGAGTTGTGTGCATTACACATGAACAAATTTGGTCTCTCATTGGAGGGTGCCTTGCTAAATAAATGGTTAGCACTTTAAATAGAATACATAGACTGTGGAACACCAAAACAGGCCATTTGCCCCAACTAGACCATCTTGGTGTTTATATTCCTCCACAGTCCACCTCTCCTAATCCTCTGTCCCTCTCCCATATACCCTTTGACCTTCTTCCTCATGTAATAATCCTTGCATGTGCCTTATCACATTGTCAATACATCTCAAGATGCTCCACAGGATATACAGTAAAATTCGCTTGAGGTGGGAAGATATTTTGTGCCAAACAAAGTAAATACATTTTATTGGATTCTGTGAGAGTAAAATATTTTAACTTTAACTACTCGGTTAGAATACTTGGTGTTCTGTTTGGTTAGTTAACATTGCTTCAAGTGAAACATCATTGTAACATATTATTTTACAGGGTCGACTGGACTCCCCTGCTGGGCGGTAACGGTATTTCAGTTAACCTTGGAAGCCTCTTAAGCCAAACAAAACGGCCATCCCTAATGTGTCCACCTTAATAGGTTCCACTGTAGTGTGAAGTGGATTTACTGTGTATTCTGCAGGCGAACAAGGCATATATATCAAGTTTTCTCTTACATGAATTGATGATGACAATAACAATTACATTTATATAGCGCCTTTCATGTCAGGAGGTTATCTCAAGGTGCTTGATAGTCCTCGTTTTAGATCCAGATTTTAGATAAAGATCTAGCAGCTCTAACTCGGTGATCTAAAATCAGCAGATATATAGATGTACACGAAACTTCAATGATTCAGTAATCATTCTCCCCAAATTTTGCAAACAAGGCATATATATCAAGGATATATATATCAAGTTCCCACAAACTCCACCATTTTCCACAAACAGCTTCTCCTCAAGCCCCCGCACAATCTCGTGCGGAGTTCCTCAGGGCTGTGTCCTTGGTCCCCTCCTTTTCAATATCTATAATCTTCTTGGTGACATCATCCGCAGACATGGGGTCAATTTCCACATTCATGCAGACGACACCCAACTCTATCTCTCCGCCTCCACATTTGACTCCAGGACCACTGCTGTCCTGACAGAATGTCTATCAGACATGAAATCCTGGATGAGAGTTAACATTCGACAGTTGAGCGGCAACAAGACCGAGGCTCTCCTGATTGACTCCCGTCAGCGCCTCCAAACCTCAGGCGCTGACAGCATCACCATTCAAGGATGCACACTCCACCGTACTAAGTCAGTCCGGAACCTTGGCATCTTGTTTGACCCTCAACTATCCTTTCTACCGCACATCTGTGCCATGAACTTCTCTGAATTCCCCCACCTCTGCAACATCGCCTGGCTTTGCTACTATCTCATGCCACAGGCCGCTGAGACCCTCAAACATGCATTGTAACATGCAGACTTGACTACGCAAACTCCCTGCATGTTGGCCTCCCCAACTCCTCCCTCCATGGGCTGCAGATCATCCAGAACTCTGCAGCTCATGTCCTCTCCCCCACAAGGCTCCGCGACCTTATCACCATCATCCTCAGTTATCAGTTATGATGACATTATCATCATCATCAGATACAGTTCAAGATCCTGGTCCTCACCTTCAACGTCCTCCATGGCCTTGCTCCCCCCTACCTCTGCAACCTCCTAACCCCCACCAACATGCCTGCTCCCCCTGCTCAGCGGTCCTGGCCTCCTTCACGTCACCTGCCCCACCATTGGCGGGCAGGCCTTCTGCCACTCTATCCCTACCCTCTGGACCTCCATCCCGCAGGAGCTCTGCCTCAATAGCTTCCTTCAAGACCCTTCTCAAGTCCCTCTTCTTTGACCCTGCCTTTGGTCACCTGCTTTCCCCCCCTGCCTCCAAATGTGGCAATTCAGCGTATCGTATCTGCGCTCGGTCTCAGAGGCAAGATGTATTTTCAATTCCATAACACTACCCTTTCCTGGTATTCCCTCAAGCTTCTAACCAGTTTACTTGCCTCTTCGTTCCATAAATAGTTTTGGATCTGTGAACATCATGTGTTTTCCCAGGAATTGAAAGTGAAACTGAGATCAGCTGAAACTGATGACACCGATGACTCAGGTCTAAATATCAGTGTCAGGGAGTGGCCTTTGTTAACAGTGATAAACAGTTTCTATTCCCAATTTACAGTTTAGTGTATCTCACTGAATCTCACGAACCTGCACACTATAGATATCTGTAATAGATATCTGTAATATAGAGTAATTGACTCTAGTGGCTTTTTTGAGCACAGAAAAAAATATTTAAATGCACATGAAACTTCAACGGTACATTTCTAGGAAAACAAAAAATTATGTTCACAGCAACAAATGCGGTCCCTCATTGTATGGTGCACTGCTAAATAAATGGTTAGCACTTTAAATAGAAATATATTGAGTGTAGAACACCAAACCAGGCCATTCATCTTAACTGAACCATGCAGGTGTTTATACTTCTCCACTGTCCATCTTGCCTAATCCTCTCGCCCTCTCGGTTTTCCCCCGTAATAATACTTGCATTTGGTATAGCGCCTTATCACATCGTCAAGACATCTCAAGGCACAGGATATCCTGTAAAGTGGATTGATGGACATACATTGTTTCCTCTTACATGAATTGATGATGACAGTAACATTTACACTTATATAATGCCTTTCATGTCAGGAGGATGTCTCAAGGTGCTTGGTAGTCCTGGTTTTAAATCCAGAATTTATAATAATAATGATAATTCTTGCATTTGATATAGTGCTTTATCACGTCTTCGAGATGTCTCAAACCGCTTTACAGAATATACTATAAAGTGAACTGACTGTATATTTTGTGGCCAAACGCGGCAGCTAATTGCACACAGCAGTGTCCCACAGGCAGTCGTGGATTGAAGTTTGAAGACTGGATTTCAGGGGAACAAGGAAATTGAAGGTTGAGAATAGACTTGTTTAGAAGCTTGATGGCTCAACTCTAGGATGACTGCTGTTTTGACTCTTGACACACTATATGTCAGACATTAGGTCCTCGATGATCCTTAACTTCCAACTAAATATCAACAAAACTAAAGCCATTTTACTCTCTCCTGCCAGCGCCTCCTGCAAATAACCCGAACAACGCACATACATCAAGTTTCCTCTTACATTAATTGATGATGACAGTAACATTTACAATTATATAATGCCTTTCACGTCAGGAGGATGTCTCAAGGTGCTTGTTAGTCCTGGTTTTAAATCCAGAATTTATAATAATAATGATAATTCTTACATTTGATATAGTGCTTTATCACGTCTTCGAGACATCTCAAACCGCTTTACAGAATATACTATAGAGTGAATTGACTGTATATTTGTGGGCAAAATTGCACACAGCAGTGTCCCACAAACAGTCGTGGATTGAAGTGACCAATTTTATTTATTTTTTTCTTGAGGGATTATTATCAGGCTTGTTACCAACACGTGGTAACGGTCTTCTGCATTTGTCCATCTTATCGAACCCTTTTATAATTGTAATCGTCTCTATATCAAGTATCAATTGCCTCAAATCAGATGGAAAAAGCTCTAACCTGTCCAGTCTATCTTGGTAGCTGCATCTTCTCATCACCAGTAACATTTTAGTGAAATTATGTTGAACTTTCTTCACTGCTACAATCTATATTCTGTCATATGGCAATTAAACTGCCGAAAGTACTCCAAATGTGGACTCGGTACTACACTCTGCAGATAACAAGTGCATGCTGTCCTGGCTACTTTTTCTGCCTTTTAACCAAATCTCAAGTGCATGCGACTAAGGAATCTCACCCACCTGCACACTGAGCACTACTGACAAATCTCATTTTCTGTGGATCTTTTTGACTTTGGTTCACAGGTATAAGGTATGTTTGTCCTCCCGTGATCATTCACCACCAAACAAGGAGCACAGTTGACAGAACTATTAAACATCGGTAATATAGAGTAATTGAACCTAGTGCTTTTTTGAGCGCAGAAAATATATAAATGCTCATGAACCTTCAGTGATAGCTTACCTCATTGTGCTGATATAGAGTTGTGAATGTGTGAATCCTTCTGCAACTTCAACGTGTGAATCCTTCTTCAACTATATGTTGAATTGTTTATCAAATAAGATGCGGTGATGTTTTCAGTCATAGGAATTTACAGAGCGGATGTGGCAATTCAGCTTATCGTATCTGCACTGGGTCTCAGAGCAAGGTGTACTTTCAACACTGTTCTTTCCCTGTATTCCCTCAAGCTTCTAACCAGTTTACTTGCCTCTTCCCTCCTTAAATAACTTGAGATCTGGCAGCATTACGTCATTTCCCAAGAATTGAAAGTGAAACTGAAACTGAGATCAGCTGGAACTGTTTACATCTATGGCTCAGATCTAAATATTGTTGTCAGAAATGCAGACAATGCTTCCAGTTGTGGAATTTATAGAGTACAGGTGGCAATTCAGCCTTTCATGTCTGCGCTGTGTCTCAGAGCAAGATATATTTTCAATCCCCCTTTAAATACTGTCCTTTAACTGTATCCCTTCAAGTTCTAAGCAGTTTACTTCGCTCTTAAATACTTTTAGATCTCAACATCATATGATTTCCCATAAAAGTGAAACTTAAATCAGCTGAACTGATCACATCTATGAAACTAAATATTGGTGTCAGAGAGTGGCATTTGTTTACTTTGAGAAAAATCAGCCACAGTTTCTATTCCCAATTTCCCTGGTGAGGGAATTCTATTAGTGGTTGAAAATTTCAATTGGATAGCTCGAGAAAATCATGTCTTACATGCGATCCAGGCACAGATATGGTCTCTCACTGTAGGTCCCACTGCTGAATAAATGGTTAGCACTTTAAACAGAATTACAGAATAGACCTCCGAAACAGGCCATTCAGCCCTGGTATGGGTGGAAATAATAGTACGTTAAAGATAAGATGAAGAAGGGATGAGAGAAAAGGTCAGACTACAAAAACTGCCGAAAGTACTCCAAATGTGCACTGTGTACTGCACTCTGCAGATAACAAGTGCATGCTGTCCCGACGTGAAAGGCGCTCTATAAATGGAATCTTGTTGTTGTTGTTGTATCTTGCCTGATCAAAGAACTAATGATGTAGCATAATACGCACAGTTCCTGATGTGTTGGGTTTGCTGGGTGTTTTTCTCTCACTTGTACTGTATGTGGAATCTGAAGCTTGAAGAATGAGGTGTAACACATTTAGGATTCATAATTCCTACTCAGTATAGCTTTTCACTGCTTTTTACAGAAAATAATATTTCTAATGCCTATGGAGAAGATGCGTACTTATTATTTCTGTTCTTTTCAGTGGATCAGGCAGACCCATTTGCCCATGTAGCTGCACTTCACTTTGACCAAATGCTCCAGAGGTTTGGCTCTCCTATTATAATACTCAATCTGGTCAAGGTAAGTCTGTCTTGTCAATTTTTAATGCACCCTTAAAGGCTTGCATTGCATTGTACAAAATAACACAATGAGTTTTGGTGCATAATTTTTTTAAATTTTGCTTATTGTACAGTAGTACCCGTTTACTTCTTTCATGAATGCTGATTTGCAGTGGGCTTTGGTTACATGGCACAATACACAGCGAAGCAGCAACTCAACTTAATGGTCTTGGACAGGTTATGGTAGACTTTTTAGTTGTGGAGATTAATAATAATCAGATTGAGAATAATAATAATCCTTGTATTTGATATAACGCCTTATCACGTCTTGTAGACGTCTCAAAGCGCTTCATTAGATTATATCATTATATCATTAAATATAATGGGAGGGAGAACTTCTTTAAAAGTTGTCTTTGCTTCAGTCTTTCACCAACTCCTCACCCCCCCCCCCCCTCCCCCCCCTTCGCCTCGGCTTCATAACGTCCAGGTAATGCAGTTAGGATACTTCAGGAATTTCTACACTAAAATCACATATTTGATCCCATCATTATGGACGATGCCAACACCATAGTAAATTTTTTGCTTAAAATTTTTATTATGGAGATTGGCAATCAAATAATACTGAATTTAACAGTGGTCAGTGAATGGCAAGTGAAATTTCAGCATTGGAGATTACAATGGTTATAAACGTAAACCTTTCTCGGTTGGATAATTGGGTCATTGTAGGTCATTGTGGAGTCCTGTAGCTCAGTGGTTAGAGCACTCGCTTTGCAAGCGAGAGACCTGAGTTCAATTCCAGGCAGAGGGCGAAACCTTGGGCAAGTTTCCTTACTCCTCACAGAGCCTAATAATAATCCCTCCAAAAAACAAAACAATAATAAATTGGTCATTTTCAATCTACGACTGTTTGTGGAACATTGCTGTGCGCAATTGGCTGCCGCGTTCGCCCACAAATATACAGTCAATTCACTTTACAGTGTGTTCTGTGAAGCGCTTTGGGACGTCCTCCCGACGTGAAAAGCGCTATATCAAATGCAAGGAATATTATTATTATTATTGTGATGTAATGGAAAGAGAACTGGAGACAAGAAATTATAAAGGGGTTGGTGTCAAACATTTAAACTATAATAGCTCTATCAATTTTCTTTATGTATTGTTCACAGCAGTCGATTGACTTTTCCATGTAACCAAATTGAGAGGATCTGACAACCCAGAACAATTAATTCCTTCTGGACTAACTCATATGATCACATAGTAGTTGAACACTCATATCTTTAGTTTTTCCATCCCAGGTTGTTTAGCAATAGTGTCCTTGCTCTTACTGTCCAAGAAAAAACTCCTATGCTCTGGAATTGGATTTGAGTGTTGAGCTGACAAGTGGGAAACAACTTAATATGGACAAATTCAAATGATGGGAGTGAAGTAGGAGGTTAAAGTAGAATTCTTGAAATTCATTTTGAGTTTGGAAGCCTGTTTTCTACATACTGCTTCTGCCATATGGAGTCCTGTAGCTCAGTGGTTAGCCTCGCAAAGCAAGAGGACCTGGGTTTGATTCCCAGGCAAGATGAAATGTTGGGCAAGTTTCCTTATTCCATACGCTTCTGTTTACTTAGCTGTAAGTAGGAACCCGGTTATTTGTCGATTGGCGTATCGCTTTTCTGGGGTAATAATCCCTTCAAAAATAAAAAAAATGAATATTTGGTCACTCAATCCACGACTGTTTGTGCGACACTGCTGTGCGCAATTGGCTGCCCGCGTTTTGCCCACAAAATATACAGTCAATTCACTTTACATATAAGTATATTTACATACAAAATATACAGTCAAGTTGCTTTCAGACATCTCAAAGATGTGATAAGGCGCTATATCAAATGAAAGGTAATTATTATTATTATCTGTCTCACTACTCTACTAGCATGTCTTATTATTTTGATAGTCTTTCCCAGCGCAGACTCTGGATCATTGGATATTCCTAGTCTGAGGATCTTCCTTTTATTCCTACTCTTTACTTTCTGTCCTCCAACCATCTCCCTATAATCTCACAGTCTGTAGCCACACTGCCCTAAACTCGACTATCTTTGCTGTACGTCTTTCAAACTCTGGGACGCTACCCAGAGTGAGGCACTACATAAATGCAAGTTGTTTTATTTTATCAAATGCTTTCTTGATTCTCAGAACCCCTAAAAAAATTGTGAAGAAAATACTTACTCAAACTACAATTGGTTTTGCGTTTTTGTATGTTAGTGCTCCGAAAATTGGAAGCAAAATTTTTAAGAGAGCTGATAACTTTTGTTAAAAATCAAAAATGTTATTTTAATACTTTTGATATCAATTCAAAATGTAATAAGTATTTACAAAGTATTGTTTTAATTTTTAGAAACGTGAAAAACGAAAGCATGAAAGGATATTGAGTGAGGAGCTATTTTCTGCTGTTACATACCTGAATCAGTTTCTTCCACCAGAGTATTACATTCAGTATATTGCCTGGGACATGGCCAAATACACTAAAAGGTAATTAGATTAATGTTTTCAAATCAAGTCTACAATTACCTTGAACGTTTTCTTAAAACAAAAATCCAGTCCTTTTTTTCTCCTGAGTTGTAAATCCTTGAAACCCTTGTAAACATATTTTGTCTCCCTGCCTAAGCTTTTGAAAAGTTTCTGCTTTACTTCAATTAGTTTTGAATATAATCTTATTCAAAATAGTTCCTTTGTAAACTCAAAATATATGTGATTAGCATTGTGGAATATCTGACTTTAACAGTATCCTTGATTCATTTGCCTTTTTTGGAACTCTGACATAATTTAGTCAGTGTATTTGGCCAAAAAGTTTGTTTTACAGTGGCTGGCATGGTGCAGAGTGGGTTTGAAATCCTGGTGAAGTTAGTTTCTTCCTGCTGTATTTCTTGAGATGCCCATGAATTGGTTTAGTAAGGACAATTGAATAGAGGCATCAACTGATCTGATGCAGCATGAAAGTTCTCTATTCTGTCCCAACCCTGTTTACAGCTGCTGTTTTCAAGCACAGAAAACAATTCTGTGACACTTGTGAATGTTCTACTCGTACTGAAAAAATGGGAAGTTCTTTCTTCTCTGAATCACTTAAGAGCACCTGATGTAGATAGTACCAGCGCCACTTATAATGAGAACGCCTGCCTCTTCCTCAACATTCAATCTAGATATCTGGACACTCACGTTCACGGCCACCCACTCGATTTGGTGATCACCCGGGGCCTCAGTGTTTCGGATATTACCATTACCATTACCGACAAGGCCGTCTCCGATCACCACTTCATCTCCTTCACCACCTCCAACCCCCTCCCTACCTCCACCAGACCCTCCACCATCTTCTACCGCCCCTGGAAGAAGTTACCCCCACAATCTCTTAACCGCTGCCTTGGAGTCCTCTGAACTCCTCTCCCTCTGGCCTTCATCCCTCACTGACCCCTCTTTTGCTCTCACCTCCTCCGCAACACCCTCTCCTCCACATTCAACACTCTTGACCCTATCACCTCCCGTACTGTCTCCTACTCTCGCTCCTCCCACTGGTTCACCGCCCACCTCCGCTCACTGAAGAGCCAGGATAATCCTGGAGGCGAAGAACAACCCCAGGCTTCTGTTCTCTACCACATCCCGACTCCTCCGTCCACCCCACACAGGTCATCTCCTCCAACCTTCATTGCAAGGAGATGTTGGATTTCCTTGAATCCAAAATCAAGGGAATCCGCTCCGCGGTCACTGCTACTCCAACTTCCACCCATCCCCCACCCCTTCCCTCTCACACTCCGACTCCTACCCATCCTCCCCTACACATCTTCGAACCCGTATCCCCACCCTCTGTCACCAATCTCATCCTGTCCTTGAAACCCACCACCTGCTCCTTGGACCCCATCCCCACTCTACTCCTTATCTCCCAGCTCCACCTCCTTGCCCCACTTCCCACAGACACCATTAACCTGTCCCTCTCCTCTGGCTCTGTTCCCATTCCTCTCAAAACTGCCACCATCACCCCCACACTGAAAAAACCCTCGATTGATGCATCGCAGCTATCAAGCTACCGGCCCATCTCCAACCTCCCCTTCTTGTCCAAGGTTCTCGAAAGAGTCGTCGCCTCCCAGTTGCGCTCTTTCCTCTCCACCCATTCACTTTTTGAACCCCTCCAGTCGGGTTTCCGTGTTGCCCATAACCCTGGTTAAGGTCACTAATGACATCTTGACCATCTGCGACCAGGGCTCCCTCTGCCTCCTCGTCCTCCTCAACCTATCGGCCACATTCGATACGGTCGACCACGTTATCCTCCTCCACCGCTTGTCCTCCCACCTCAACCTTCAAGACCCTGTCCTTGAGTGGTTTAGGTCCTACCTCTCCCACCGTCTTCATTTTGTTTCCACTAACGGCTTTTCCTCCAGTCCCCGCACTCTCGTGCAGCATCCCTCAGGGCTCTGTCCTCGGTCCCCTCCTCTTCACCCTCTATATGCTCCCCCTCGGTGACATCATCCGCAGACATGGGGTTAACTTAACTTGACACCCAACTCTACCTCTCCTCCTCTACCCTCAACTCCACGACCACCGATGTCCTGACAGCTGCCTGTCCGACATCGAGTCCTGTACGAGAGACAACTTTCATCAACTCAACGTGCGCAAAACCGAGGCCCTCCTGATTGGCTCACGTCAGCACCTCCGCACCTCAGGCGCTGACAGCATCAGCATCCAAGGCTGCACTCTCCATCTCTCAAAGCCAATCAGGAACCTCGGTGTTCTGTTCGACCCTGAGCTGTCCTTTCTTCCCCACATCCGCACCACAACTGGCACCGCCTTCCATCACCTCCGGAACATCGCCAGACTACAGCATTACCTCACCCCTCACGCTGCTGAAACTCTGGTCCACGCCTTTATCACCTCAAGGCTGGACTACGGGAACTCTCTTCGTTGGCCTTCCCGGCACCTCCCTCCACAAGCTGCAGGTCATTCAGAACTCTGCAGCTCGTGTACTGTCCCGCACCAGGCTTCGGGACCACATCACTCCCACCCTCGCTCGCCTCCAATGGCTCCCCATCCCCCAGAGGATCGAACTCAAGATCCTCATCCTCACCTACAAGGCCATTCACGGCCTTGCTTCCTCCTACCTCTCCGACCTACTATCCCCCTACTTACCTGCCCATACCCTCCGTTCCTTTGGCTCCGGTCTGCTCCACATCCCCCGCCCTAACCGCCCTACCATCGGTGGCCGGGCTTTCAGCCTCTCAGCCCCTAGGCTCTGGAACTCCATCCCCCAGTGCCTTCGCCGCTTCCTCCCTTTCCTCCTTCAAGGCCGGTCTCAAGACCTTTCTCTTCGCCCGTGCCTTCAGCTCCCCTCTCGACTCTCTACCCCCTCCTCGCTCCCTCCCTTCCCTCCCCTCACCCTGATCATTTCCCACCTGCTCGGGTCCTGACCCAACTGTCCAGTGCCTTGGGATGTCCTCCCGACGTGAAAGGCGCTCTATAAATGTAATCTTGTTGTTGTTGTTATTGGACAGGATTTTTACATCAAAGGACTTCTAGACTCCATCTGGTTAGGGCTACTTAAACCTAGTTTCCTCTTGTTAAGAGCTACCTCCAGCCTGCCTTGCTGCAAAAGCATTGGATGTTATAGAGTTAGACGTGCAGTCTGCTGGCCAGAAAATATTTTATTTCAGAATAATGTAATATTATTTGAATGCCTGCAACACTTAGCTGAAGTTTTCTGATCTTTCTGCAGATTTCCATTTCAAAATAGTAGAGGTCCCTGTTAACTGGTTAGGAAATCTGGTGGAGGTTGAAAAGTGGAATCTCAGGGTTAACCCCAGAATAATGCCAAAGGAAAGGCTTAGTTTTCAGAAGACATTTTTATACCTAAATGCCATGACTTTTAATTAAAAGAAACACCATTCTAATAACCTACCTGTTTCAGCACTTATATCAACTGTCTTTTCTTCCCCACATCCAAGCCATGACCCGCTCTGCCTTCCCTCACCTCCGTAACATCGCCCAACTCTGCCACTACCTCACCCTTCAGGCCGCTGAAACTCTTGTTCATGCCTTCATCACCTCCAGGCTCGACTATGCCAACGCCCTGCTTGTCGGCCTTCCCAACTCCTCCCTCCGCAGATTGCAGATAATCCAGAACTCTGCAGCCCGTGTCCTCTCCCGCACCAAATTCCATGACTCCATCTCCCCCATTCTCACCTGACTCCATTGGCTCCCTATCATTCAGAGGACCCAGTTTAAGAACCTGGTCCTCACCTACAAAGCCCCCCATGGCCTCGCCCCACCCTACCTCTGTGACCTCCTAACCCCCTATCAACCTGCCCGCTACCTCCGCTCAGCCGGCTCCGGCCTGCTCCATGTCCCCCGACCCACCCACCCCACCATTGGCAGGAAAGCCGTCAGCCACTCTGCCCCCAACCTCTGGAACTCCATCCCCCAATCAATCTGCCTCGCCCCCTCCTTAGCCTCCTTCACGTCCCGCCTCAAGACCCTCCTCTTCGACCGTGCCATTGGTCACCCCCCTTCCCCTCCCCTCCCTTCTCCCCCTTGACCCCAGCTCAGGTCTGAAATGCTGTACACTGTCCAGCGCCTTGGGACATCCTCCCGACGTGAAAGGCGCTATACAAATGTAATCTTGTTGTTGTAAATAGCACCTTGCACTTAAGTACAATGCATCCCTGTTATAATGCACTTTCGGAGTCCTGTAGCTCAGTGGTTAGAGCACTCGCTTTGCAAGTGAGAGACCTGAGTTCAATTCCAGGCAGGGCGAAACCTTGGGCAAGTTTCCTTACTCCACACGCCTAATAATAATCCCTCCAAAACCAAAAACAATAATAAATTGGTCATTTTCAATCTGCGACTGTTTGTGGAACATTGCTGTGCGCAATTGGCTGCCGCATTCGCCCACAAATATACAGTCAATTCACTTTACAGTGTGTTCTGTGAAGTGCTTTGGGACATCCTCCCGACGTGAAAAGCGCTATATCAAATGCAAGGATTATTATTATTATTATTATTTATAGTGGTGATGCGATTACACAGATATTTATGAGAAGTGGAGCAAATGAAAATTGGCAGTGCGTTTTCCCTACAAACTAAGTCAGCTTCTTTATGCAGAAACAGGCTAGTGGGCAGAGAGTGAACTGTCCAGCTGCACTGGTGTGTAGTGACACCAGCTAACACACTTCACTATAGATTTTATGAGATTTTATGGCTTCATATAGTCCCTCATTACAAAAACAAATACAGATTGCAAAATTATGTTCACCAATTTGGGAGTATATAAGTGGTTCCTTTTGTATTGATGTTTTTATAGATGTGTAACTTAAAATATTAAATCTCTTGCATGTCTATTTCCAGTAAACTTTGCAATGTCCTAGATCGTTTGAATGTAATTGCAGAAGATGTTGTGAAAAGAACTGGCTTCTTTGTAAATCGTCCTGATTTCTACTGTAGCAGTTTACGACCAGATGAAAGGTGAGTCTGAATGAGAACTAATTGGTGCTGGAATAGCTGCTGGTGTGATATCTTTGTGAAGATTATATGCACCCCATGCCCCTGAGTTCCCACCCCTAGTTTGAGTGCCAATCTAGCATTGACAAAGCTTTGAGACATCTTTTTCGACGTGAAAGTGCTATATAAATTATTATTGTAAATATGCGGAAAGAAAGAACATGGATCTTTACTGTATTTGGAAAGATCATTTCGATTTAAAAAAAAGTGTTAAGGTATTTATAGGAAGTGGAGGAAATGAAAAATGGCAGTGGATTTTCCCTGCAAACTAAGCTTGCTCCTGGCCAGTGTATGCAAAATGAAATGTAAACTCGTTCCAAAAGCAGATATTGGGCATAAAAGCTTTTAATTATCAGAAATATTGGATCTGATCAAAAACACAATTTTCTCAGAGAGGTGGAGATACGACATTGTGAAAGCACAGGAAGACCTCATTAAGATTATTCATTCTGGCACTATCACTGGAAGATGGGTATGAAGTGAAGGAGGTCCAACAGAATTGTGGTCCCAATATTGGAATTCACTCTCCTACTAATAGAATCTTAGAAACATTGGACATGTTGACCTGTACAGAAAATGAGATAGAGATTGACTTCTTCTGTACAACCCTTTCAATACAGATTACACTGATGTATTTAGCTGATAAAGGTGAATTTTAAAGTGGACCTTATGAGCATCTTAAATTGTCCTTTTAAGGAGATTACAGATTGATCTGTAAACACGAGTGGCAGACAAGTATCTCCCAATGCTCACCAGTGATATTTGTATTCATATCTACTCCAGACTTCCTTAATTCAGTGGATGTTCCAACATATTCATATTTTATTTCTCTCATAAATATGTGAGTTAGGAACACATCTAAACAGAGTTTAGGAGAAACCTCTTCATGTAGAGGGTAGTGAGAATGGGGAATTCACTGCCAAAATCAATGGTTGAAGCAAAAAGTATAACTGTATTTAAGAGGAAATTTTGTTTATGCATGAGGGAGAAAGGAATTGACGGTGAGGGAGAGAGAATTAGGAGCTCTGGGGCGCTACCCTGCGTGAGGGGAGCTGTATAAATGCAAGTTGTTGTTGAGGGGTGGAGGCTCATGTGACTAGTTAAACTGAATGGCCTCTTTTGGTGCTGTATCATTCTATGTAATTCATTTGAATTGAACATACAGGGAATCAATGTCATCAGTACAAGATTGCATTTGTATAGCGCCTTTCACGTCGGGAGGACGTCCCAAGGCTCTGGGGAATTGGCTATACAGAAAATCGGGAATTTGCTCGAGTGCCCCCTGTGAATGCTCCCCATTGCTTTCCACCCTAGAACCAGACACCTGTCACAAATGACAGTTTGGACCAGCCAATCATCACCTGAAAACAAAATGTTCACACCAGGCAAAACATTTTTAATTGAGTCAGCATAATTTATTTTTTTGAGCCAATGCATGAATATTCTGTCATATTGAGCCTTGTCCTAGTGTTTTGTTCATGGCTTCAAGCTGGTCTTATAGATAAATCATACAATATAGTGAATCTTTTGTTTTCCCTCTGTTACAGATGGAATGAACTTGGTGGATATATTCATGCCAATTGTCGCTTACAGGTAGTCCATTAAATGTACTCAAGTTACAGTATAAATAATTAAATCCTATGTGTCAGCTTAGTTGGTATCACTGTCTACTCTGGGTCAGAAGATTGTGTGTTCAAACCCCACCTCGGGACATTGAGCTCATAATTTAGGCTTTCACTGCTAAGCGAGAGAGTTATATTGCTCTCCTTCAGGTACCATCCTTCGGATGAGATGTTCAGGTAAACTGAGGTCCCATTTGCCCTTTCGGGTGAGTGTTAAGATCCCCTGACATTATTTGAAAAGAGAACAGTTTCTCTTAGTGACCTAGCCAAAACATTTCCAGATATTATTGGTCATTCATTTCATGGTTTGTGGAACATTGTGTGTAAATTGGCTGTCACATTTATCTGCAAGTACATTCATAGAAAATCCTTTTGAATTGCTTTGAGATATTTCAATGTTATAGGCACAGTATCAAATATAAGGATTATCATTATAAGCATTGCATAATATAGAATAAGCCTTAATAACTGAAAAACAGGCTTTATGATCAAGATTATATTAGTTTTTCTCTATTTAGTACTGTAATAAACAATTTGATTATGTTGCAACATAAAGTGGCGTTTAAACAGCTTAACAGGTAATTGGCTTGAATTGGGTTACACTGATATTGATGAAATATTCTGTTATACAACTCTGTGAATCTTAAACTTTGGAGATCTGCTCACTCATCTTCCTAAGGCCACTAGTAAATTCACCAGACAAAATCAATGATTTATTTTTTTGGTCAGCTGGATGTTGGACACATGCAGAAACCTTGGGCAAGTTTCCTTACTCCACACACCTAATAATAATCCCTCCAAAACAAAAACAATAATAAATTGTTCATTTTCAATCCATGACTGTTTGTGGGACATTGCTGTGCGCAATTGGCTGCCGCGTTCGCCCACAAATATACAGTCAATTCACTTTACATTATTATTATTATTATATTCTGTGAAGCGCTTTGGGACGTCCTCCCGACGTTAAAAGCACTATATCAAATGCAAGGATTATTATTATTATTATCGCGAAGTTTAATACACTAGAGATGCCATCCTACTTGATAGGTGCTATTGTGCAAGTTGATGTGCATGTTTCAATGGTGTTTTGGAATGACACATTGGTTGATAATTTAGATAACTAACTAAATTTGTTTTTCAGACTGGTGTTCTGAGAACAAATTGTGTTGACTGTTTGGATCGTACAAACACTGCACAATTTATGGTGGGAAAATGTGCCTTGGCGTATCAATTGTATGCTCTAGGTGTGATTGACAAACCAAGACTTCAATTTGACACTGATGCTGTAAGGTAAGAATATTATGCTACCTTTGGGGATAGAAGCCTTCTCCACCAAGGAGGATAAAATCGTTAAGTACTAACTCTTGATTTTGTTTTCAAACTCTTTTCCCTCACCTCTACACACTCACCCCTTTAATTTTATCACTGCATTTCTTCCCTATCCCCACTTCCACCAACGCGCAACTGCTCATCACAAATAATCCTTCCCTGTCTAGAAGGATGGAACTATTGGAGCATAGTCGTACATAAATAGTAATAATAATCCTTGCATTTGATAGTGTCTTATCACATCTTTGAGACTTCTCAAAGCGCTTCACAGTAAAGTACTGTAAAGTGAATTGACTGTATATTTTGTGGATGCATTGAATGTCATTCTGTGATTCAAAAGATACAATTCAAAGTGAACGCAAGATTCTCCATTATTTTCCTCCACTTCAGGTGAAACACGAGACACAATCCAAAAGCCCAGCTAAAATTGTATGGAAACTCATAATAAAAACTGAACACATTTGAGTAAGAGGCAATGGCACAATTCTGGTATTCTGTATTTTTTAAGTTTTACATTTATTTTGATTGATAGAAAGCTACAATATTTTGCATTAGAAATATGTTAGTTATTTTGCTTTCAGAGTCCTTGTTATCCCACTGAAAGGTGTTTCCATGGCAATGATGTCTTGATGAACAATATTGCCAGTGGGTGTCAGTATGTATTCTTGCTGTGCCAATTTTGACACCGACATCAATCTTGTTGCTACAGTTAATTTTGTAATCTTTTGTGCACCAACAAGTATGAAAATTTGAAATTAAACACTGAATTAAAAGTACTCATTAAAAATATTGTATGTATTCTTCTGAAAACATCAAATTCTTATGAGGACTATAAATTCGAGTTTTGTAAAGTTTGTAATCTCCTCAGGTGAATTTTTATTTAATTTTTTTAATAAAAACTGCTTCGGGCTAGCTCCCGGTAAATTAACAATTCACTCTTGTGTCAAGCCCTTTGTCAGGCTTGTGTTCGGTTATTGAAAATTGAAGAAATGTTCTGTGAAGCCTCCCGATTTAAATATACATTACGTTTGCACAGTGAATTTAGTTGTGCTAATTTTCTAAAATTAGATGAAAATATTCTCACACCAATTCTATACAAGTTATCTTAAATAGTCCAATACAGATGAAAAAAGATGTGCATCAACCTGAGTCCTGTACTATATTTACCTGTACAATAAATTATCGAAGTCTGCATAAACGCAAGAAGGCGTTATATCGAAAGCAAGGATTACTATTATTAAGTTCCTGCTGTGAACTGAACACAACAACAACATCTTGCATTTATATTCGTGCCCTTTACAAGGGCAGTGCCTCAGAGTACTTAACAGTGGTAGAGCCACTGAACCGGGAAGAGAGGGGAGGTGAGCATAGGCACGAAAAGGAAGGTCTTCAGAACATAAATGTGAACAGATGGATTTTTTTTGAACATCTGTTTATATGTGATGGATAATGTAAGACTTATTCTATAAATAAGATAAAAGGAATTTGTTTTCACCCTGTTTACCCAAACCCTTCATTGTTTTAGCTCATAATTATTGTTGTATTTTTTTCAGGAGGTGGGAACAAGCGAAAGAGCTTTAGGTGCACATTACCAACAACAAATTGAATTTATATAGCGTCTTTCACATCGGGAGATCGTCCCAAGGTTCTGGACAGTCCAGGGTTTACATCCCAGCTGGGGAGTTGGAGTTAGGACATGTGGAGGGCAAGGGGTGGGTGGAGTCAGGATGGTGACCAAAGGCACGGTCAAAGAAGAATGTTGTGAGACAGACCTTGAAGGACTGAGGCGAGAGGACTCAGGATTGGTGTTCCAGAGGGTGGGGACAAAAAGGCTGAGAGTCTGATCGCCAATAGTGGGATGGGCAGGATGGGAGACATGGAGCAGGCCAGTGCCCGCTGAGCTACAGTAGTAGGCAGGTTGGTAACATTTTAGTGGGTTGCGAGGTGGGGAGGAACAAGACCGTGGAGAGCTTTAAAATGAGGATGAGGATCTTAAACACAATCTTCTGGGGGATGCGGACACAATTAAGCCAGGTGAGGATGGGGGTGATCAGCTTATGGAGCTTGGTGCTGGAGAGGACACGAGTTCTGAATAATCCGCAGCTTGTGGAGGGAAAAATTGGAAGTCCGGCGAGTAGGGAGTTAGCATAGTCAAGGCTGGATGTGATGAAAACATAAATGAGAGTCTCGGCGGCCTGAAGGCAGAGGCAGTGGCGTAGGCAGACAATGTTGAGGAGGTAGAGTGGGGGCAGACCCTGTTCATTTCTATGATACAAAGATGAAAAATTGAGGATTAAATGTAATCTCCTACTTGTGTCACAGTATTCTTGCTGTCCACTGTTACAGTTATTTTTCACTTTTTAATAGGTTATTTGAAGAGCTGTATGAAGATCATGGTGATACATTGTCTTTACAATATGGTGGTTCTCAGCTGGTGCATCGGGTGAAAACCTACAGAAAGATTGCACCCTGGACACAGCATTCCAAAGACATCATGCAAACCCTTTCTAGATACTACAGTAATGCATTTTCAGGTAAAGTGTAATTTATATTAATTTCTTCAATCAATATTAATGCTGTTAATCATCTTATTGTGATTTATCCTGTTGAAGATGTTACTTATCAATCACTTCTCGCAGCTAAAATGATTAAGAGTGGAATAAGCATGATTTATACTTCCCGCTGGACAATGCCATTGGCCAGGGTCCAAGAAGAGATCTGCCTAAACACAAAGCTATACAAAATAATGGTTAACTAATGTTATTAAAGAACTTATTGGACTGTCTCACAAAACTTTTAAAGTAATACAATTAATTTTGTTAAATTTAAAGAGAAATACGGTCAGGGATCAATTGAGTTAGTGGTTTTAGGAGTAAGATTTGAAATCAACAACAACTTGCATTTATATAGCGGCCTTCACACGGGGTAGAGCCACGGAGAGACTTGAAATCAAAGTTAATAGTTGAAGTTTAGTGTCTAACCGAGACACAATTTGTGCCTAATCAACACTAAACCTGCTGGATAAATGCATATAAACTTCCCAAGGAAATTTTTAAAGCATTCATTTAAAAAACACATCCAATTGTTTGTAACAGATTCATTAAATAACCTGTGTAATGCAGAAACTTGACTTCTTATGTTAAAAGATTCACTTTATACAATATTCAAGTTTTTGTTTAAATTAAGAAACCTTGACGAGGAGCTTTGGACCATGTTGCGGGATGTTATCAAGGTAAAAAGAGTAAGAAAGAAGATTTAAAAAAAATTTTTAAATCAAGAAATGTTTGTAACTGAGCACTTTAAAAATGGCAAGTTTGGGGGGAGGGGTTTACACTGGTTGTGTAATACAGCCGTATACAGTTCACAGCAAATTTTACTGAATGCAGCCAACAGAAGATTCCTGTAAAAAATCTTTGGAATTTTTTGGTTGCCTTTTATCAATAGCTATTGCTTATTTTGCAGATGCGGACAGACAAGATTCCATAAATCTGTTTCTTGGAGTTTTCCAGCCTACAGATGGTAAACCTCATCTTTGGGAGCTTCCCACAGATTATTACCTACATCGCAAGAACACAATGGCACTCCTGTCTCCAAAGAGAAGGTACTATGCTCTAGTTTCTTATATTTAAAATTATCGTCTCATTCAACATTCATTAATTTGAAAGTTCTTTACCGGCTGGGTATACAGGCTAGTCAACGCTTACACAATCTCCTCTATGATTGTTATGCTTCTAAACAGAATTTATAAAATGCTCATTGGGTTTGGATGGGTGGGTATACTGTATGTATTTGACATTTTATAGGTAAAATTACCATATCACCCTATTTCAGATATTCTCCATACACGTTTTTTTTATTTGTTTTAGCTATACGCATTGGTGGACCCCAGAGATTATAATTAATCTTCCTTTGCCTTACGACGAAGGTAGGAATCTTTTGCAAAATGCATATTATGCTGCTACCCAATATATCACTACATAATAGAGTTTTAAAATAGTTCAGTGTAGAATTGGGAATCAATTCTAAAATTTGGTTCATGGTGCTCAAACATAGTGCACTTTCACTTCAAACATACACTCTTTTATACAAAAAAAATTACTTTAATATGTGTGTAACATTTGCATAAGATCCAGCTTTCATGGAGATGAGAAGGGTTTACTAGTTTGGGCAGCAAAGCTGTTTAAACAAACTGATTTGAGAGTCTTTGGTTCAATTTTAAAAATATGCAGTGATTATAGGATTGCTATTCACAATTCAGGAATAAGTGTATCATGGAGATTTGACTTCCCATTTGAAAGATGTCAAAATTGAGCCTTTTTAATTTTTCCTCCCAATTTTGTTTGTAAATCTGAAATAACAAACGCCTTTTCAATTCTTCACGTTAAGTCATTTTTTTCATAACAACTTGCATTTATATAGCGCCCCTCACAGAGTAGCATCCCAGAGTGCTTTACAGTGGCGGAGCATGACTCCGAGCTGGGGTGGGTGGGTAGTTGGGAGGATATGACCGTAGGCATGGTCGAAATAGGAGACTCTTCAGGCACAGCCTGTAAAGGGGAAGGAAGGAGCGAGGCAGAGGGATAGAGGAAGAGTGTTCCAGAGTTTCAGGGTTTAGTGGCTGAAAGCACAGCTACCAATGGTGGAATAGAGGGCATGAGGGACGTGCAGAAGGCCGGAGCCAGTCAAGCGGAGGCAACGGGTTGTGGGTTAGGTAAACAGGTCAGGGAGGAGATGCCAGAGCATGAAGGGATTTGAAAACGAGTGTGAGGAACTTGAAATCAATACGTTTGTTGATGGGGAGCCAATGGAGCCTGGTTAGAACTGGTGTGATGAGGGTACTGAGTTTAGTACGGGTGAGTATGCGGACGTTGGAGCTTTGGATCAGTTAGATCCTGGGCATAGTGGAGCTGGGGAGACCAGCAAAGAGAGAATTCCAGTAAGGAGGTGACGAAACCATTGACGAATGTTTCGGCTGTGCCCGGAGTAAGGTACGGTCAGAGGCGGGCAATGTGGCAGAGGTGGAGGAAGGTGATCCTGGTCAGTGACCTGATGTGAAAAAGGAAGGACAGCTGTGGGTTGATCCTGATGTCTAGTTTGCGCACTGGTTTGGATAGCCCGCAGAGGTTGAGGAGGTCAGAGACGCAGGATAGAAGATGTTGACGGGAGCCAATGAGTATGACTTCCGTCTTGAGAACATTGAGTTTTAGGAAGTTTTCGCTCATCCAGGCCCCGATGTCCACCAGCCAAGCCAAGAGAACATCGACGGACCTGGAGTCGCAGCTGGAGGAGAAGTAGATTTGTGTGACATCTGCATACAGGTGGAAGTTTACCCCATGTCTGCAGATGACATCGCCAAGAGGGAACATATAGATGAGGAAGAGGAACAGAACCTGAGGAAAGCAACTGGGGAGATGAGAGGGAGTTGGGTGACCAGCAACTTGGTGTGGAGGGGCTTGAGGCAGCAGGTGGTGGGCTTCATCTGGGATATGGTGGTTGAGAGGGAAGCGGGAGTAATCAGGGAAAAGTAGTGTAGGAAGGAGGTGTGGTAGGGGCTGTGGCAGAAAGATGGAGTCATGTAGACGTTCTGGGGAGTATGAAAGGGGGGCGTAGAGGAGGAGGTGCAGCCAAGCAGATGTTTTCGATCTTTGACATGCAGAAATGTTGGACCTCGCCACATTTGGCGTTACAAGTGAGGATGGAGGCAGGATGGTGGGGGTGCGCAGAGAAGGTGGTGGATGGTGCCTTTGGGTTGTTTTTGGTCTCCAAAATGGTTTTGGAGTAAAAGGCAGTTTTTGCCTGTGAAGGAGGAGGTGGTGGCAAAGACCCCTCGAGTCACAGCTGGCAGAATTGTGAGGCTGGATTTCTGCCATCTGTGTTCGAGAATCCGGATTTTAGTTTTGAGGGAGCAGAGGTGACTGTTATACCAGAGGGAGCGGGTAGATTTGGAGACAGACCTGGATTTCAGGGGAGCAAGGTAGTTGAGGGTTGCAGAGAGGTGATCTTTAGCAGTTTGATGGCTGCATCAGGATTGCTGCAGGTGGAAGGCTAAGGGGCAAACAGATCCAAGGAAGCGAGGGTGTTTGTGAGGAACTTGGGTGGAAGCTTTTTCCAAGTTTTCGAAGAGGGGAGGGGGATCCAGGAGGAGAGGGAAATAAGGAAATGGTCAGAGATGGCCTTGTCTGTGATGGACAGGTCGGAGATGTCAAGGCTGTGAGTGATGAAGAGGTTGAGGGGGTGGCCACGGTTGTGGATCGTGAAGTTTATGTGGAGTTTATGTTTACTGTTGTTTACTAATTACTGATTTGCTTATGTTTCGATCTTGAAGTAAATCGTTTTCCTAAAGGAATATTCCCTGATTCTATCTATATACACCCAGATCTGATGTTTAAACTTTTTGTAACGTGACAAGAGATTAATGTACGTCTCCAGGTTGATAATTATAATCAATAAGCAAGTTTATTGATTACTTTAACGTTTCCAAGTTTAAAAGATTGACTATTTAAAAATGTGCTATTATATATTTAAAGTTGATGTGAAATCAGTCTTCAAATACTGGAATTATACATCTATTGAAATACCTTCCTTAGTTATATATTGAGCAATAGAAGGTACTTTGGGATCATTTTCCTATTGCACATATGGCAGTAAATTATCACTAAATGTGCTGTGTTAATGTGTAGAACCATTTGCTTGGGGTAGGTGGTTTGACGATATGAGCTTCGAGACTGGTACAAATCACCCTGGACTCACTCAGGCATCTTTTTTAATGTTGAAAGCCAATCACACAATTTAATAACATGTTTTTAAAAAACACAATTTTGTTTTCCTGTACGTATGTCAAGGTGCAAAATGTGAATGTATGAGAATGTAAGAGACACCTGGTTCTCCGTAACCACAGAATTTTATAATCAAATTGTAGCTTTGAAACCAAGTGCAAAACATTTATAAGATAAATTTGCTCTTTGAAGTTAATGCTTCGGTTTATGGATATTTTATGGCAGCCTGTTCCTATTGATGATCTTAATTAACACTGCAGGGGCATGGATTATTGATTATTTTTGATAGTTGTACTACAAGTATTGAAAAATGCACTGTGACATTTCTTCCTCTGCTGTCACCCTTTTAGTTTCTTGCACTGAAAACCTTAAAAAGGTGACTATTGTGAAGAAGACTGACAAATATGATGAAGAGATCGATATATACACTGAATTTTTCAGGCCATATGAACTGAGCTGCTTTGACGATACGTTTTGCCTGCAAATGACAAATTCAGCTAAGTATGTAATGTGATCCATCTGTTTACTGCTCTTTGCTAATCACTGCTTTGCTTATATTTGAATCTTCATGCAAATCATTTTTCTCAAGGAATAATCCCTGATCCTATTTATATGCATCCAGTTCTGATGTTTACACTTTTTGTAACATGTTACAAGAGATTAATGTACATCTCCAGGTTGATAATTATACACTACTTGTGCTTCACTTTTGTTTTTTATTGTCAACTCAACTTCTTGATGTGTTATTTTAAAATGCATTACCGATTGTATAATTTCTATATTTTTTGTGATTAGCTGAATAACCACATTTTTGTACACTATTTCAGATCTATTTAACACTTGATTTTAATATCAAATTTAGCAATTTTTTAATACATTTATAATATGTTTCACCCACAAAATACATAGTCAATTCACTATAGTATATTCTGTGAAGCACTTTGAGTCGTCTTGAAGACGTGATAAGGCGTTACATTAAATGCAAAGATTCTTATTATATGCGTAGTTGACCATTTTAAAGTTCTTGCTTCTTAAATTTTTTTACAGTGCATCCATCTTATTCTTGGTGGGGCAACTGACATTTCTATTTTAGTTTATACGTGCTTTATTTATACTGTCAGTTTGCCTCATAAATACTATGAAGAGACTATTATTTAACAACTAATAAATAATGCCATGTGCCATATTATTTCGATCAGTCACATTAGTGATTTCTGATTGATTCATCACTCAGCCTGGACCTAAAAATAGCTTGAATATAACTATTGATAACACCTTTCGCTTGCTTTTAGCACTTTCCTCAATCCAGTAGGAGAAGCGGGTATTCTTAATAAGAATTATTGAGCAATATAAGCTGGCCTGAAACTGTATGAAAGCACATGGCATGATAGTTACATCAATTCTGTAAATATACAAAAACAAGGAAGGGGAAGGGAAGAAGAGACATTAGAGCAAGTGGCAGACATCAAAATTATCATGAACTAAACAAAGTAAACACTGGGCATGATTGGGTGATACCTGCTTCCCACTCGATCAAAGCAGATAAGCCTTGGTCACCAACTATGCACAGATTTTGTACAAAGTTTCAACTAGCGGATTTATACATTCAGAGAGGGTTTTTTAAAATTGTGCAGAATGCATGTAAATCCACCTATTCTATTTAAGCATGTCCTGTATACATATGATTTAAAAAATATATATGTGTTATTAGGTTATTTGCTTGCAGTATATTTAGCTGTATTTGCATTAAAGGGACTTCATGCCAAAGAATGTTGGAATTGACCCAAGTCCTTTCACAGTTCGCAAGCCAGAAGAAACTGGCAAATCCGTGCTGAGGTAAGGAACTGATAGCAAAGTTTATTTTCACTGAGTATAGACAAAACTTTTGATATGTTGTATTACTTCTTAAAATTACCAACTGTGCTTCAGTTATATTCTGAGGAACTAGAATAAGTAATATAATTTATGCTGTCCTGTGTGTTCCTATTTCTAATTCTGTATATTTGCATTTTTTAAAGTAAAATGTTACTATTTTTGTTTAAACATTCAGTAACAAGAGCAATAAAGAAGAAGCTGTTCTTCAGCGTAAGACTGTTGCTAGTGCTCCACCACCACCTTCAGAGGAGGCAGTTTCAAGTAGCTCTGAGGATGATTCAGGCACTGACAAAGAGGAAGAAGGTCCTATCTCACAGCGATCTACACCAGTAAAAATGACTGACTCAGGGGATAGTACCAAAGTGCCCGAAGTAAGAAACATTACAATTTGACATGATTTCATTGATACATTTTACTACAGAATGGTAGACTATTTGAACTGGTGAGACACTTCTTCAAATTAGAGGATAAAAATGAAAGGGAAAATCAACCTACAACTAAAGTAACTTGCATTTATACAACACCCTTTGCATCTTGGAGAGTGCACAGTGTTGGGGATGGATGTCAAGCAAGGGAGAAGGGGAAGTGAACTATAAGCACAGACAAAAAGGTGGTATTTAAAGATAGATGAAGAAGGGGAGAGTGCAGTGCACATCTCTAAGCATCCAGTTTCTGAGCAGCAGAAATGGCAGAGGTCACAAATCAATCAGCCTTTGTCAAGACAAATGCTGGAAAGACCATGAAGGGAGTTAGGGAAAACTACAGATGTGGAGAAGAGAAATATCATTTGACAACAGACTAAACATACGTTTTTAGTTTTATTAAGAAAGTGAATGTGTAATCTTGTCCTGTGCATTTGGTTGGCTCTTTCAACATCCTGTATAACCAGATGAGAGAGAATAGAACTTGCTATTATTGATTATGAAAGCAAAGGACCAAAATTGGGGTTTGCTTCTAACACCACCAAGAATTTCCTCAGATATTCACAGAAATATAGAATAATTGGTGATACTGTGATCTTGTTTTTTGTTGTCACTCTATTGATAAGCAATCCATTCAAGGAGCTTGTACTGTGTCAAAAGCACTGTTAATTCAAAGTAGCAGTACCATTGAGAATGATTAATACAATGTTTCAAGTGGTACTGGTTGTTGTGAACCTTTGAATAATTTTAGATTTAACCATTTGGAGAGAAATCTGTTGAAGCTTGTCTGACACATTATCCACATATGATTTATAGTAAATCCCATTGCTTTATGTATCCACATTGTTTTTTTCTGGTCATCTCATATTACTAATTTCAACCTCATTTTATCTGAGGTAGTTTAACTGTGCCATTCATAACAACAACAATAAAATTACAGTTGTATAGTGCCTTTCGCGTCGGGAGGACGTCCCAAGGCGCTGGACAGAGTTACGGATCTGAGCTGGGGGTAGGGGTGGGGGGAAGCAGGGAGATTGAAAGCATGATCGAAGAGGAGGATCTTGAAGTAATAATTACAAGTTCAATATATTGCTGTAAGCAATAAGCAACATCATGCACTGGTTCCAATTGTTTCAGTGATAAACATCAGACACTCAATTCTCCAAATACCGTCCATATTCCATTTCTCAAACTTAAATGCTAATATTTCAATGCCTTGATTATGTGCTGATCCAATAGAAAAGTGTTGAAATGTTTGCTGAAAAATGCGGGGAAATGTGTGCAGGCTAGTGGGGAAACTTGACACCCTTTTCCGGAAATTTGACAAATTTTGCGGGAAATTGTGGGGAGTTGGTTGGTGCTATTGAGATACGTTTTACACCCTCATTTTTTCACTTTAATGATATAACCTAAACATGAGGAAATAACACACTAGATAGTTGCAAAAAAAAATTAATTTCTTCTTCAACAAAAACAAAGTGACCCATTAGGGGGAGGACACCAGCTCAGGCCCAAAGGGCCTGGAATACGCCAAAATACAGACACTCAGGACCGGTGTCCTGACTGCGGGGTTACAAGAGTTCATCTCCTCCTGCCTCTCAGGGCCCGGCATCACACACAGACGCAGAGAGAGGCACACACACTCAGAGACGCAGAGAGAGGCACACTCACTTAGGGACGCAGAGAGAGGCACACTCAGGGACGCAGAGAGAGGCACACTCAGGGACGCAGAGAGAGACACACACACTCAGCGACACACACGCACTCGGAGACACACACGCACTCGGAGACACACACACACTCAAGAGACACACACACTCGGAGACACAGAGAGACACACACATCCACAGACTCTGAGAAATACACACACTCTTAATCACAAAGAGACACACCTACAGACAAGAGAAGAGAGACACTCTCACACACACACACACACACATAGAGAGAGAGGGAGACGCACTCACACAGACACTCAGAAACACATACAGAGGAGAGAGACACATTTACATAGAGACACTCACAAACACAGATAGAGAGACACACAATCTCAACAGTGGAGCCTCTTGAGTCGAGTGAAGCCCATTGCCCGCTTGCTTCACCCCGGACATTCGTGTCCAGAGCCGTTCCGCCCACAGTTGCATCGGATAAACAGCAGGCAGAGAGACCCATGTACGAGAAACATAATTTTTTGTGGTTTTATAGAGGAGAGCGCAGTTTATATTTTTGTGTAATATTATAGGATTCCAACCAGTCTCCAAGAGAATTACATATGATGAATCTTTCAGAGAATCCATCCGGGGAAGATCTTGTAATATATAAAAGGTAAGATTAAGTACAAAATAAAATTCATTCGTATATTTCAAGCCAAGGCTGTAATTGAGTATTTCACATACCTTCTTAAACAACCAGTTCAATGCTTAGATTGTTTACACACATTATTTGAAACCTGGGGTTACTTTACAATTTGATTTTGATTTTTCAAACCGAACTCTCAAACTTTCAGTGGCGCATTAATGGGCAATATGATAATTCTTGCATTTGATATAGCAGCTTTCATGTCGGGAGGACGTCTCAACAACAACTTGCATTTATATAGCGCCCCTCACGCATGGTAGTCTCCTAGAGCGCTTGTGCTTCATTCGATTTATTGTAAAGTGTAGTGGCTGTGTATTTTGTGAGTTAAATGTATATATTTGTACTTGAGTCATGTGCTAATTTTTATGCAATTAACTCAATAATCATTTGTTTAAAAAACATGTACAATTTAAAATTCTTGGCGTCAAATGTACAATTGGAGTAACAGTAAAATGTTCCCATTTCATTGCATCATCAAAGATTTCTGAGCAGACCTCAAACAGCATAGAACAGGCAGGGCGTTCTACATCCTAACAACGACATCAACAACTTGCATTTGTATAACATCCCTTGTCCAATCCCTTGAGACGTTTTCCCAACATGAATGGCACTATATAAAATAATAATAATTGCATTTGATATAGCAATGTGTTGTCCCTTCAGGCAGGGTAGCATCATGGAAAGCTTAGCAGTGGTAGGGCTTGATGCCGAGAGGGGGGAGGTGAACGTAGGCATGATCAAAAAGGAAGCTCTTCAGGTATCATCTGAAGACTGTTAAGGAGAAAGATAGGAGGAGGGATTAAGGCAGAGAGTTCCCTAGTTTTAGGATGTAGTGGCTGAAGGCACAGCCACTGATGGCAGGACAAGGGGCATGCAGGAAGCCAGAGTCAGCTGAACAAAGGTTGAGAAGTGGGGTGTAAAAAATACTCTGTATAAAAGAAAACTTCTAATCTTCCCCCTTTGCTTCATAATTATTTTAAACTGATGCCCTCTAGTCACTGACTTAGTAACTAGTCTCCCCTTCTACTCTCTAAGACCCCTCATAATTCTAAGGATCTTAATCTGATCTCACTCAACATTTTCAGTTCCACCTATAAATTCCACTGAAAATAGGCCCAGTTCCTCCAGTCTCTGCTCAAACATCAAATCGCTCATTTAGTTAATGATACAAAAAGAGCTTGATATGATATGCAAATGTGCTGACGACTGACAAGTAAAGTTTAATATAGATAAATGTAACATACTAAATATAGAGTCCTGTAGCTCAGTGGTTAGAGCACTTGCCTCACACGCGAGAGGGTCCTGGTTCAATTCCCGGCAGGGCAAAACTATGGCAAGTTTTCTTACTCCACACGCCTCTGTTCACCTAGCAGTAAGTAGGAACCCGGTTGTTAGTCGATTGGCAGATTACTTTTCCGGGGGTAATAATCCCTTCCAAAAAAATAATTTTAGAAATAGTAATTTGGTCACTCAATCCACAACTGTTTGTGGGACACTGCTGTGCACAATTGGCTGCCGCGTTTTGCCCACAAAATATACAGCCAATTCACTTTATAGTATATCCCGTCATGCCCTGGCACCTCCCTACCTCTTCGATCTGCTCACCCCCACAACCCACTTCGCTCGACTGGCTATGGCCTTCTGCAACTCTCATGCCCTCTATTCCAACATTGGTGGCTGTACTTTCAGCAACTACGCTCCGAAACTCCGGAACACCCTTCCTCTACCCCTCTGCTTTGCCGCATTTTCAGTTCATGCCTGAAGGCCTTCCTATTTGACCGTGCAAGTTGTTGTTATATTCTTTGAAGCGCTTGGAAACATCTCAAAGACGTGATGAGGTGCAATATCAAATGCAAGGATTATAGAAAGAATAAGAAATGCAAGTACTCCAAGATGGAATAGAACTTTACAAGGGGGATATTGAAAGAGAACTAGGGGTGTTAGTTGACTCATCATTCACGATGTCAAAACAGTACGAGTTAGCAATAAACAAGGCAAACAAGATGTTGGGCAATATTGTTAAATCAGTTGAGTTTGGATTACCAGACGTCATACTCAGGCTGTATAGTGCTCTGGTCAGGCCTCACCTAGAGTACTCCATACTGTGATACAAGGGAGCTGCCCAGAGCCTAGAGATGATACAGAAGAGAGCATCGAGGATGATCCCCAGTGCGAGAGGAATAAAGGTATGAGCAACAACTCGACAAGCTAGGGATCTTCAGTCTTGAGAGAAGATGACTCAGAGGGGACCTCAGAGGTGTGTAAAATTTTAAATGGGATTGAAAAAGTAACAATACTTTACGATGCACCAAGACAGTAGAACAAAAGGATACAGGTTTGGAGTTACAAAAGGAAATTTCAGGAGCAACGTCAGGAAATATTTCTTTCTCAGAGGATAATTAACCACTGAAACAGGTTGCCAGGAAGTGTAGTTTAGCCTAGTACACTGGACTCGTTTAAAAAGCAGATTGATGCTGTGATGGTGTGTATTCTGGAGGGATGAGATCAGAAGGGCCTTCTTCATGCAAACAAATCTTGTGATAACTTAAAGCTTTTGCACTACAAAATACTAATGAAATACGATACTCCTAATGAAAAATATTTAACTTCAGAATCTGTTGAGAATTGTTTTGATGTACAAATTTGAATATAATCTATCTGATTATAACCAAATTGCCACTTAATAAATATCCTGAAGGGGATGGGAGGCAAACGGGATCCCTTTGGAGTTGATCTGACTCCAAGTGACATGCTCAGCAACAGTATGTTGGAATCACGCAGCCCTCTGGTGATCTCAATAGTGCAGTTCCTGAGCCAAGTGGGTCTGCAGTACGTCAGACCACTGCTGATGCCAGACCAGCCAGCGAGCTCATCGCGAGGACTTGGAGGGACAGACCAATCACTGACAGCACGAATTCTTCCTAATTGACTCTTGTTAACCCTGGATTGCCAAAGTCATAATGGTCAGGGTGGTCCTAGCTGAGAAAGCAGCAGGATCCTTGCTAAATTGCTATACAGTTCTCTCAATGGCAAGCTATGCAGTTTTAGCTGGTTAGATTCCAGCAGTCACCAAGCCTTGACTCCTGCCATCTTGTACCGAATACTCTGGAATTACATAAGCAGAGTGAGACTGCCACAGAATAGGGAAATTTCTGACCGAAAAAAATGATAGGTTTGTAATTTCTCATTTGACTCCTAATTTAATGTCCTGTGTTTTTTACAATAGGTTTGTTCATTTAGGACAAAGTCAACGTAAGCTTGATGTACATAACCAACAAACGAGTACAAAGCGTCTGGACAATATGATTAACATCCTGTAAGTATCTGGGGGCAAGTGCACTGGTATGGATTTTTTTATTTTCACATTGACTAAACCATACATCTTTTTTGTATATCAACAAGAGTAGCTTAACAAACCAGTAAATTAGTCAGGGAAATCGCACAAATAAAACTTACCAAATATGGCAAATTAATTTTTATTTTTATTCGCTGTAAAATGTAGTTATTTTCAAAAGTTCTTGACTTCGGTATAATTTTTGTGGTTCCTTGGATTTGTATAATGATGTTACACTTAATCATGGTAACTGTTGAAATCGACTGATGAAAGTGAATACAAAACTATTGAAGTAGAAACCTCCTAGGGGCAAAGGTCAATACCCACAGATGTGTCCAATTATTTTTAAACACTGATCATATTTTCAGTTCTTTGTATTTGTAATGATCTTTCATTTTATCAGTAAGCAAACAGTGCAGGGACCAAGGTGACATGCTCTACTAATATTAGCCTCGGCGATCACATTTCTTGTCATGCTTATTATGTATTCAGGCTATTTGCTAACTCCTATTTTTTTCTGCAGAATATTTTCTAAAATATAGTTTGCATTTAAGGGTTTATAAATGTGAATATTTTAAAAATGCACATGTAGAATTTAAAATCTATACAGTAAATTTCAAAGTGGAGTCATGTAGCTCAGTGGTTAGAGCACTTGCCTCACAAGCAAGGACCTTGGTTCGATTCCCAGGCAGAGCAAAACTTTCGGCACATTTTCTTACTCCACATGCCTCTGTTTACCTAGCAGTAAGTAGGAACCCAGTTGTTAGTCAATTGGCGGATCGGTTTTCTGGGGATAATAATCCCTTAAAAAAAATTGGTGAATCAATCCATGACTTTTTGTGGTTTCACCCATAAATGTACAGTCAATTCACTTTACAGTATATTCCTTGAAGCACTTTCAGACGTCTTGAATACGTGAAAAGGCGTTATATCAAATGCAATGATTATTATTATTAAGTATTTAACATTCATAATATTTTTTACAGCGTAAAAAGCTCAATGCAACGGAAACATATTAAAATCATTCTGTTAAATAACTTTTTTGAACCAATAAACAATAATAATATAATAATAATCCTTACATTTGATATAGTGCTTTTCACGTCTTCTCAACGTCTCAAAGCGCTTCACAGAATATGCTGTAAAGTGAATTGACTGTATATTTGTGGGCGAAATGCAGCAGCCAATTGTGCACAGCAGTGTCCCAGTCCACAAACAATATGTAGTTACAAATACTTAAACCCAGCTTCAAACTTGGAACCTTCACTAATTCTGGTTTTATAGTGCCCAAACCCATAGTTAGTGAAAATTTCTGCAGAATGGAGGAATTGTAGAAATTTACACAACTTTTATCTGAAAATAGATTTTTGTCATAATCTTCATTCTTTCCTTTGTAAGATTTTCCTTTTGTAGTTATTCTGTTGTTGCAGAGAAGCAGCCTCACTCCATAAAAGCCTTTGAGCAAAAACCTTATGAAAGCTCTTGCACTATATTGTCATGGAAACATGCCTACTTTGATAGTATGTTAATGCTGACCTGACATCTATCCTAATTCCTTTCATTTTAAAAGTATGTCTTAAATTATTTCTATTTTAAAAATATTGCTGTTGACCAGTATTTAAGTAGAATTGTTTCTCCTTTTTTGTTAGAAATCTTACTGTAGAGTGGTATCCACATGAATTGTAAATGCCATTTCTACTGACAATAAAACTAGAATGCGATTAGAAATGGGAAGTTTCCCTGTATAAAACATATGCCCTCTGGATCACAAGCAATTAAATCTAATGTGGTGCAGCATGAATCCTATTTTAGTAAGAAGAATCTGAGTGCTTTAGAACCTTCTACCTTGACTTTTGTATCTATTTCAAATGCTTCCAATTTGCATCCTCAAAACTGCCTTTAAAAATCTAGACTGAGTTTGCTTTATGTGGATGCATTAGTACCTGAGGGTGAGATTTAAATACCTCAGTTTCCAAAAGACAGGGGAGGTGCATTTTTACCAAACTACCTACTTTATTATTGGCTGCACAGGTCTGTCCCACATATTAAGAGGAGCCATGTGATCTGCAGTGGAACTGGTTGCTGTTCTTCCTTAACCTAATCTAACCTCGCATTTATTCACTGCTCTACTGTTATGATTTGAGCTGGATTATGGTCATTGCTCTGAATTTGCTTGTGTGTTACTACAGTACTTCAATTTACTCTTTATCTCCAAGGAGCTTTGACTATATTCATTGTGGGAGGAAAGGGCAAGTAAATCCGAAAGTTTGATTTGTGGGCAAGGTCAGGTACCATATAACTAGGCTGAGTAGCACAATTTACCTTGGCTTTGACAACTCTAAAGAAGCTTCCCACTTTTTGCCCATCCAAAAGTGGATGTATTGCTTTCCTCAACTCCTATTTTATCTCCATTAATCTGGCATTTACCTCAATGTAAAGTAACCCAAGGTTACCAATAGAGAAATTTACATAAGGTAATTTATTGATAAAGTATTTGGCATGGTATCATCCTGTGATCTCTGCTGTAAGAAAACTTGGGTGCATATCATTTATTTTCCTCATTGGTAGCAGTTTGGCAATCTCACAATGTGCATTCACTTGTTTTTCTAATGTTGATTAAATTAGAATTCAAATATTTAACCGACATGTTTGAAATATTATATGAAATGTTCCCGAGCCTCTATGATCTAGATGATCACTCCCAAGTGTCTACTCTGTCTCTCCTCTTGCTATGAGAGGAAATTCTTGGCACTGACTGGTACCAACAAATGGAAAACCTGTATGACCCAAGACCCAACCACTCCCAAGAGAAAAAGCGGTTTGACTCTTTCTTCTGAGAACCATAGTGGTAGGAGTTTCAGAGGAACACGAAAAGATTTATTCTTGTAACTTTGTGATCAATTCTTTCTTCACAGCAGGAGTTGTTCCTATCCCTGTGTGATGGAAAAATTTCAAATTAACACAAGGCATGTAATGTAAAATAGAAACAAAATCCCAGGCATTTATTAGCCTGTGATGTTTGATATTTTTAAGTATTTTCAATTAAAATTTGCTTCTTGTACTGTTGGTGCTTCCCAGTGTGGCTTTTTGCTTGCAGAGAGAAATTGTTCTTCATTGGGATCTGGCATAATTGCTGGCTAGTTCCCTCTTATGCAATGTGCAACTGCAGTCTGGAACTTGAATTTAGTAATATCAATCTGTACTGATGTCACAGTCAAATTTGCACAAAGATACCAAAAAGCAAGTTGTTTATACGTATTTGTCAAAATGGATGGGGGTTAAATGAAATGAATTAAAGATGGTTGAGAGGAAACTCTTGGCAAAAAGACAAGTACATTCAAACCTTATTCATATGTAAATACAACCATTGCTTCAGGTAATTTTTGTTAATGTACAGACAACTGAAAGTCGAGGTTACAAAATGTGGACTATAACTTAACAACAAGCACCCCTAACGGCTTGTGTTTGTACAACATTCCATTACATGCACAAGAGAAAAATTACAATCTCCAGAAAAGCAGGAAAATGAATTTGCAATGTTTATTACTGTAACATTACTATTTAAATAACTGGCAGAATAAATTCCTATTTGAAAAGGTCACAGTCAATCTACACATAGCCAGTGCAAAATCTTGTGCCTTGTTGAACCTCCAACTATCCTTCAAATCCTACATCCAGGCTCTCACAAGATTTGCCTCTGCCACTACCTCTCCTTCCAGGTTACTGAGACCCTCATCATCCTTGCCTCCAGACTCAATTACTTGTGTCACATAAGAAGCCTAATCAGCATAAAGGGTTTTGTCGTTGTAGGATTTTTTATTTTGGGGGTGGGGTCTCATCCGAAAGAGAAGAAAAAAGTAATAATTTCTACAAGGTTTTCCATTTTGCTTTTCAGGAACCCGGTGTCTTCATTTCCTCCAGACAGCATTTATGAGGTGCATCTGACTGAATTGGATAGAAAATCAGTAGAAATCTTTACTGCCCACATCCAGGCTGGCAGAGGTATGATGCAGCCCATGTTCAAGGATGACATGATTGTCTACAGAGAATACATCAAAAACAGATACATGTGAGAAGGGTAGCAAGATTTCCTTGATGCAACCGGCAAATGTGACCGGTTAGAATGCCATTTTTGTCCAGCAGAGCCCATTACTGTAGACAACTGCCTTAAAACATGGGAAAAACAATTTAGGAACATAATTCTAATCATATGTTCCATGATTCATTCATGAAACAGAACTCATAAAGTTTTGAATGCTTTGAAATTTGCTAAGATGCTGAAAATATGTATTATATCACGTCAGCTGTTAATTGTTTGGTTCAGGACTACCTTATGTTGTGGCGCATGGGGTGGGACAATGTTAGTGTATTTAAAATCTGCAGCATTGTTTGGTTATTGGGAACTAAATATTGATGTTAATGTTTGAAACCTCAAAACTATGTAGGGACACAAGAGCTAATACTGATGTTAATCATATGGAATTTACTCTTCTCCTTTTGTAAATATTAAAACAAATCTTAACACAACTTGTTTTTTAAGGATTTTTATTTGTACACATTACTGAAATATTAACTTCAGTTTCAGCGCTTTGGGACAGCCTCCCAACATGAAAGGCGCTATATAGATGCGATTTGTTGTCATGATGCAACTTTTTCACTTTGCTAATAACCTGGGCCAATAGTAAAGTGTGACTGCAATTTTTCTGCGAAATCCACTACAAACCACACTCTTCGCAAAAAACCTGCAACAAATGAAGTTTCCTCGATGCCCAAGCCTCTGCGCAACTGTTTACCTGACACTACTGTGGGCCGAGGGTTCTAGATGCGAGCGGAAATGGGCTTCGCTCACTCCGAGGCCCTGTGGTTGAGATTGTCTGTGTGGTTGTGAGTATCTCTGTGTTAGTGTATCTTGTTGTGAGTGTCTCTGTGTGTGAGTGTTTATAAGTCTGTGTGTGTGTGCATGTATCTGTGTGTGTGTGTTTCTGTCTGAGTGTGCATCTCTGAGTGTGTGTGTCTCTGTGTCTCTCTATGTGCGTGTGTGTCTCTGTGTGTGTGTGTGGTGACGGGCCCCGAATGGTAGGAGATCGTGACCTCCTGTAGCCCTGCAGTCAGTACACTGGCGAGCTTGGGGAGCAATGCTGTTTTTCGGCGGATCTCCAGGCTCTTCGGGCCTGCGCTGGTGGTCCTCCCCAGCCCCGTACCACTTCCAAGTTGGGCCACCCAGTTTTTGTTAAAGAAAGCATTCATTTTTTTTGTGTAACACTCTTAATATCTGTTATTTCTTCCTGTTTAGTTTTTAATCAATAACGTGAAAAAATGTAAGTTGGAAGTAAAATGTACCTCAATAGCATCAACATCCCCCCACCCCCAGAAATTTCCTGCAAAATTTGAAAGTTCCCCAGAATTGCTGGCAAAATCTGTCAAATTTCAAATATTTTGGCAATTTTTTATTGGCCCTTTAATAACTACAATTCCATCAAACTACGTTAGTTCCTTTCACTTTTTTTTAATTGCTGGAATGAAAGTGAGGCAGATTAGCTGGCACATGCAGAGAGAAACACCAGACAAATTTGGTAGGCCAATTGCTCTGTACCATTCTGTGATTGAATGTTGATTTGACTTTTTGTTGCCTCCCAACTGCATGAAACGTACTAATTGTTGCTGATCAAGATTATGAATATATAAAATGTTCTCTGCTAGTCTTTTTATGCAATACAATTTACATTTATATAGTGCCCTTCACATCAGGAGGATGATAATCTTTGCATGATATAGCACCTTATCACATTTTCTAGACATCTCAAAGCACTTCACAGAATATGTGGAGTCCTGTAGCTCAGTGGTTAGAGCACTCGCTTTGCAAGCGAGAAACCTGAGTTCAATTCCAGGCAGGGCGAAACCTTGGGCAAGTTTCCTTACTCCACACAGAGCCTAATAATAATCCCTCCAAAAAACAAAAACAATAATTAAATTGGTCATTTTCAATCTACGACTGTTTGTGGGACATTGCTGTGCGCAATTGGCTGCCGCGTTCGCCCACAAATATACAGTCAACTCACTTTACAGTATATTCTGTGAAGCGCTTTGGGACGTCCTCCCGACGTGAAAAGCGCTATATCAAATGCAAGGATTATTATTATTATTATTATTATACTGATGTCTCAAAGTGTCCAACACTGCTAGCTGGGCACCTCGACCGGGGTGGAAACCAAATTGGACTTCATGGATGGGACTTGCCAAGGAGGAAGCTGAAAGAGATCAAGGGTATTAGCTGACTTGTTGCTCACTATTTCAAAACCGTGTGAGGCAGCAGTGAACAAGGCCAACAGGATGCTGGACTGTATTGCTAAATCAGTTGGGTTTAGTTTGCCAAATATCACACTCAGGCTATACAATGCTCTGTCAGGTTGCACCTAGAGTACTGCATACATTTCTAGTCACCACCGCATGAGATGGTAGTACTGAGGAGAGCCATGAGGATGATCTCCAGTGCTAGAGGAATGAGCAATGAGGAACAATTTGGTAAGCTAGGGATCTTCAGTGTTGAGAGAATTAGTCTCAGAGGGAAACTTATAGCGGTGTATACATGATTTAATGGGATTGAATAATACTTCAGGATGCACCAAGACAATAGAACAAAAGGACATTAGTTTAAAGTTGCAAATAGCAGTTTCAAGTCCGACACCAGAGCATTTTTCTGCATCCAGGGGGTAAATGCAAGTAGTTGCAATTGACGACTGGAACAGGTTGCCAGAAAGTCTGGTTGAGGCCAGGACATTGCACTTGTTTCTAAAAACAGCTTGATGTTATGATAAGATGGTAAAGTAAGTGTTTTGGGAGATGCATTTTAGTATCTCTGCTTTCACTTTATGAGGGTAGATCAAACTGCTCAAATCAGTACTGTAATAGTACTGCAATATCAATCCCAACCAACAGAGGGACAAAATGCATAGCTATTGCCAGGAACCCGATCCTTCCCACAATGTTACATTACAAATAATAAACCTTGCATTTGATATAGTACCTTATCACATCGTTCAGACATCTCAAAGCGCTTCGCAAAATACACTGGAAAGTTTAGTGACTGTATTTTGTGGGTAAAATGCAGCAGTCAATTGTGCACAGCAGTGTCCCACAAATTGTCGTGGATTGAGTGACAAATTATCTTTTGGGGGGGAATTATTACCCCTGGAAAGCAATCTGCCAATTGACTAACAAGCGGGTTCCTACTTACTGCTAGATAAGCAAAGGCGTGTTTTCAACATTCCACAAGCAAATCTGCACAGGAGAATTTTTCTGGCAGTTGCCAGCTCAAGGAATAACTGATAAAAACAGAAATTACATTTGATTTTAGCCCAAAGACAGAGCTCATATTTTAGGCTGGCAAGGCACTGAGTGCGTGGAATGATGCAAGTACAAGTACATTTCGTTGGAAACCCTCAAAGGTAAATGCATATTCGATCAAGTGGTGCTGAATGGCACAACAATTTTTGGGACATGTATTCTGACCAACTTAATAGTTTAGTGTACTTATATTATCTCGTAGAACAATTTTTTTTTACGACTGGAGACCAACACATCCACAACTTCACAAAAAAATCAAATGATCAAACAATATTTTAAAATACAACAATAATCAGACTAGCAACTGCTGAAACTGTAATTAGAGCTAATTGTGAAAATACAGAAGAAAACCTTTTGTTAGATGTCTCAGTGTCACTTACAGGCAGTTGAAAAAGGATAACCTTGCATTTCAACAAGGCCTTATACACAATAAAATAATAATAATCCTTGCATTTGAGAATAGCACCTTATCACGTCGATGAGATGTCTCAAAGTGCTTCACATGATATCACCTACAAAATATACAGTCAAATCACTTTATAGTATATTCTGTGATGCGCTTATGCTTTGAGACATCTTGAAGGTGTGATAAGGCACTATATCAAATGCAAGGATTATTATTATAAAATGGATTGACTGTATTTGGGGAGGTAAAACATGGAGCCAGTTTGCGCACAGCAATGTCTCACAAACAACAATAACAAAATTACATTTGTAAAGTGCCTTTCACGTTGGGAGGACGTCCAAAGACGCTGGACTGTCAGAGTTGCTGACCTGAGCTGGGGGTTGGTGTCAAGAGCCATGGAGTGAGTCAAACAGCCATGGAATGAGTGATCAATTTTATTTTGGAGATTGTTGGCCAGGACACCTGGAGAAACTCCCTTCTCTTCAAATAGTGCCATGGGATCTTTAATGTCCACCTAAACAGGCAGATGGGATCCTGGTGTAATGTCTCATTCAAAGGACAGTATCTCAGACAATGCAACACCCCCCAGCACTGTACCGGAGTATCAGTTTGGAAAGCAAACTCAGATTCAACAACAAATGGAAATTTCCATGTGTCTCGAATGGATTGTGCACTCTCCCGCTGGAGGGATGCACCCTGCTTATCTAATTCCAGAGAGTTTTAGGTGCAGGTTGGCAAGATCCAAGGCTTGGACACTCCAGAGTTTAGCTAACTAAAACCGCATAGCTTGCCATCGAGAGCACTATCTGATAAGCTTCCTGCTGCTTGTCCAGCTAGGACAGGGCAGACTGACTCCCTAAAAGAGCTTGGGATTGTCAGGTGAAATGAGGGTGCCAATTCATGGGGGAGCATCGATTTGTGTGGGGGAGGGGGGTCAAAAAGCATCATCCACACATTTAAAAACTTTGTCAGGGTTAAGTGGAACTTCTGAACTAGGCTGCACAGGATGGTAAGCATCGGGAACCATTCACAGGGCAGACAGGAAATTTCCCACATAACCAGTCCGCCACTGAGCTAGGAACACCCTTCGCATTAAGGCTTTGATTTGCAGCATTAACAGAAGCTGATTGAGAAGAAACCCTGCCTCTAGGACCCCTCAGGAGACATGACTAGAATGTCCAGCAGGACTGTAGTAATCTGAGACTCACTTGGTGGTTAAGCAGCCTGTAAGACTCAATAGTGGAACTGAAGGTGTAAACATCTCCTGAGGCTCTATCAATAACATTGCAAAACAGTGTAGCTGGATAAGAACTGTGTCTCAGTTACAATTATTTGTGGGTGCGTTTCGCCCACAAAATGTACAGTCAATTCACTTTGCAGCATATTTTGTAAAGCGCTTTGAGACGCCTCAAAGGCATGATAAGATGCTATATCAAATATAAGCATTATTATTATTTATAGGATATAGGAATATTCAGACATTCAAAAAATTTAGAGTCAGACTCAATTGTGGTTAAAAAAAATGCAAACCTATGTTCATATAATTAGCACGAAAAAAGCCAAACAGCACTTCCGGTATTGAAATAGGTTTGCAACCTGAGTCATACTTTGTGGGTATAAGTCAGTATCCACGTATTTGACAGCTCATCTTATTCTAATTGTAAATGTAGAAAAGGGGAACGTTTGGGAGGACATGACTTGACGTCTAAAATTGTTTGAATGGATCTTGAACGTTTGCAGGGAAGTTACAATGTGATTTCTATTGCTTTTCACGCAGGCAGGCAAGCAGGCAGGAATGTGGGTAACTTGAGCTCCAAGGGTTTGTAGGGTGATGTCAGTGAAATGCTGCTCAAATGAGCTTTTGAAATATTCCCCACGTAGTTCACCAGCATTGCGATGTTATGGAAAATGAAGCGATCGCTTAACAGTGTCTGTCAACGGAAACTCAGCATTAACCAGGCTCCGCCTCTGTTAATGAATAGAACGACTTGTAGGTAAACTGTTGGTATTTGTTAGCTCGCAGTGTGTGTAAGAGGAAATGATCACTCGTCAGGTCTGGGAAACCTCACGTGGATTTTATCATCGTCCCGTACTTGGGGCTGAACCATAACACATATCCCACAGAAAAGCCTGTATACACCATGTTCTGCGATAAGAAAGCAGAACCTTGTCCTTTTGCAAATAATAAGCACATTGTAAAAAAATAAAATTGTGATCGGGAATAAAATCAGTTACAGGCAATAAAAACGATTCTTCTCAGGACATTGTTTATTTTGGCGCATTGTATATTGTATAAACCACAAAGCAATAAAAGCTTTGCCACATCTAGCTGTGGCTGCTCCTTATAATGCTGGGTGCTACACACAATCCAATTGCTGTGAGGAGATAAGGAATCCCACACTAATTCTCACCTAGATCATCAGGAACCTCCTTCCGGTTAACCATCTACATTCAGGAATGTTAGCACTGCTGAAACCCATCATCCACAAAATATACCCCTGGTCATTAGTTCCGGGGGTAATAATCCCTTTAAAATAATAATAATAAGGTCACTCAATCCACGATTGTTTGTGGGACACTGTGTCGCAATTGGCTGCCACATTTCGTCCACAAAATATACAATCAATTCACTCTACAATATAATCTGTGTGCTCTTTGAGACATCTCAACGATGTAATAAGGCACTATATCAAATGCAAGGATTATTATTATAATTATTATCTGAATTATATTCTGCCTGTGAGAACGAGATTGATTTTCAGCCACGTAAAATACATCAAAACCAGTTTTGGTCTCCTTGTTCAGTTTTGGTCTCCTTATTTAAGGAAGGATGTACTTGCCTTGGAGGGGGTGCAGCGTAGATTTACTAGGTTAGTACCAGGGCTGAAGGGGATGAGTTACGAGGATAGGCTGACCGATTTGGGCCTATATTCTCTAGAATATAGAAGAATTAGAGGGGATCTTATAGAAACCTATAAGATCATCAAAGGGCATGATAGAGTAGATAGTGGGAGATTGTTTCCCCTGGTTGGAGAAACTAAAACCAGGGGTCACAACCTTAAAATCAGAGGCCAGCCCTTTCGCACTGAGTTGAGGAAGAACTTCTTCACTCAAAGGGTGGTGAATGTATGGAACTCACTACCCCAAAGGGCTGTTGACGCTCAGTCCTTGAACATATTCAAGACTGAGATAGATAGATTACTTATTGCAAAAGGGATTAAGGGATATGGGGATAAGGCAGGGTCAGGTTATTAGTTGGAGTTAGATTAAAAGATCAGCCATGATTGAATGGGGGGACAGGCTCGAAGGGCTGAATGGCCTACTCCTGCTCCTACATGTTATGTTATGTTAGGAAGCATAATTATGAATAATTAATGGCTTCCTTACCCCCTGCCCCCTCCTCAGATCCTACCCCAAGTCTGCTAGGGCTGCTTCTCACAAACCACCACCTTACATAGGCACATCAAAGTGTTCCACACTGTGCTCCAACCTTATCCCACAGAAACACCCCTCGCCAACTATAAACAATCACCATTGTATACAGGATAATGTAGAGGCCTTGATATATGTCTGCACATACATACCTGCAAATACCATGTGTCAGGGCTCGCGATGACGTGAAAAATTTCATGAAAGAGTTACAAATGATAAAGGGAAACATATTCAGGATTAAGCAGGGTATGATAGTCCGACTGGATATGTGTTCAGTTGATTTAATTTTCCACGTACAGTGATGGCATTATGTTGCAATTTATATCGCCAATTGTAAAATGTTACATCAAACAGCATTAAGAAAGCTGTTTTTTTATTTGCTTTGTTATTAATCGGACTGGGATTGCATTATAGGAATGGGCAAATACATTTGAATATTAAAAGAAGTCACAAGTATTTACTTGCCTGAGCTATCAGAGAAAAATGTGGAGGGCTTAAATCTCTCTGAAGTAGGGTGTTGTTTTGCAAATCATTCATAAATAATAAAATAATAATCTTTGCATTTTGATCATAATAATCCTTGCATTTGATATAGCACCTTAACATTATTGGATATACTACATAGGTAGTTCGGGACATATGTGTATGCAACCGCCAGGAAGATGGAAGGTGAACTAGAGGAACCTAGGTTTTTTTTCCCGCCTCGCATTTATGTTCTTATGTTGTTGAGACGTCTCAAAACGCTTCACAGGATATACTTTAAAGTGGATTGACTGCATATTTTGTGGGCGAAACGGGCAACCAATTTTACACCCAGCTGTGTCCCACAAGCAGGCATGGAGTGAGTGATTAATTTTGGGGGGGAATTGTTGGCCAGGACAGGTCACCAGGAGGGAGAAACTTCCTTATCTTTTCGACTAGTGCCCTGGGACCCTTAACATCCAGTGATTAACAGATGAAGTATAATCCCAGATTTCACTGGAGATGGTGTTAGGAAGGTTTTCCAGCAGTGATGACCTGGTCTTAATGTGTTTTGAGGGCTCCTGAGAGACAGAGCAATGATCCTACTGGTGACAGTGAGAGCCCCAGCTGACGTCAGCTCAGCACTCACACAACCTCCTCCCTGCCTGCTCCTCCCTGCCTGCTCCCACTGCCTGCTCCTCCCTGCCTGCTCTCACTCACTCCATCCTGCACTTCGCAACTGCCGCCTGCAACACCGAGCCGGAGCCCTGTGCCATCCTCCCCTGTCTCCAGAGACAGACTCACCCTGACAACTCCATCCCTCCAGCAACAGGAGAGAGAGAGAGAGCATCGCCTGCCTTCCTGCCTTCACTGGTGAGTGCACAAGTACATCACTGCTTCCCTTGTGGGAGCGCTTAGTGAGAACTTCGTCTGCAATGCAACATTGTCTGATAATAAAACGTACAGTTGTAGTCAGTCCAGTCTGGTCTAGTCTGTGGCTGTTATGTCGCTCTGTCAATCCCATAGACTCTGCAATGTTCAGCACCATGGTCAGGGCTGAATTCTCACATCTCGTTGGAGTCCTGTAGCTCAGTGGTTAGAGCACTCGCTTTGCAAGTGAGAGACCTGAGTTCAATTCCAGGCAGAGGGCGAAACCTTGGGCAAGTTTCCTTACTCCGATAAATTGGTCATTTTCAATCCACGACTGTTTGTGGGACATTGCTGTGCGCAATTGGCTGCCGCGTTCGCCCACAAATATACAGTCAATTCACTTTACAGTGTATTCTGTGAAGCGCTTTGGGACTTCCTCCCGACGTGAAAAGCGCTATATCAAATGCAAGGATTATTATTATTATTATTGACTTCCCATTCACCCTCCCTGCCTGTCCCCCGCTCTGACCTGCTTTTCACCCTTTATTTTAAGTGTTTTTTTTTCCTTTTTATTTAAACCTCCCGCTGACAGCTGCCACCTTTCCTGTGTTGGCCACATTGTCTGTATATCTCACCCTCTCCTGAACAGTCCTTGTATTCAGAAACCCATCCTCACAACACAACCCAATGCTTGTAGGGTTAGTTTATTGCTGCCGAGTGAGATTGTGAGACCAGGGAACCGTATGTATTTTACCCAGATGTGTGTGTGTGGCTGAGCCTCTCTGATGTGATGTGTTGTGAATTGCAGAAACCTCCTCACCAACCAGACGTGATGGATGAAAGTTCAGGAGTGAGAGAAGCTGCCAATCTCTCCAGTTGGCTGGAACCACTGGGTGACAACACTTCCTTACGGCTGGATTCCCAGCAGCCGCCGCTGTTGGTGGATCCTTGGGATATAATATTGTGTATCTCGGGGACTCTCGTTGCCTGTGAAAATGCCATCGTTGTAGCGATTGTTTTCTACACCCCAACATTAAGATCTCCAATGTTCTTACTGATTGGGAGCCTGGCTACGGCAGATCTGCTGGCGGGGATTGGCTTGATCATGAATTTCTTATTTCGCTATTTAATTCACTCAGACACCATTAACCTGATCACTGTGGGCTTCATGGTGGCCTCTTTCTGCGCCTCAGTCAGCAGCCTGTTGGCCATAACCATTGATCGCTACCTCTCCCTGTATAACGCTCTCACCTACTATTCCGAGAGGACAATTACCTACATTTACCTGATGCTCGCCATCACTTGGGGTGTCTCTATCTGCCTGGGGTTACTCCCCATCCTGGGATGGAACTGTCTAGAAGACACATCTACCTGCAGCATCGTGAAACCTCTGACTTCCAGCAACCTGACCGTCCTCTCCACCTCCTTCCTGTTGATTTTTATCATCATGTTGTACCTTTATATTAAAATTTGTAAGATAGTGTGTCGCCACGCGCACCAGATCGCCCTACAACATCACTTTTTAGCAACATCTTACTATGTGACCACAAAGAAAGGCATCTACACTCTGGCCATCATCTTAGGGACTTTTGGGACAAGCTGGCTGCCTTTTGCCATTTACTGCCTGATTGGGGATCACGCCTTTCCTTCAGTGTACACTTACGCTACCCTCCTCCCAGCCACCTACAACTCTATGATCAACCCCATCATCTATGCCTTCAAGAACCCAGAGATCCAGAAAGCTACCCGGTCTCTCTTTTGTGGCTGTTTTCAGTCCAATGCTTCCTTTCATTCCAGGTCCCCCAGTGAAGTCTAGCCACGAGTTTGCTGGAAAGAAAACAAAAACTGACAGATGTGTGTGAACTAGCCTTGGGTACTGACTGGTACTTTAATCAGCTCCCAATTCCGGGAGGAAAACATAGAAACTTCTACAATGCAATTCATCTCAAGAAAAAAAATGCTCTCCAATGATTCAGCTATTGTAAAGAATCTTAAGCCAGAACTACAGAACAAAGTATTGAATGAACTGTGCACTTTATTTCTGGGTGATTTATTGACTACCCATGCAGGTAAAACAAGCATCTGTATTGTAAATGTTTACTATAATATATTCTATTTTGTGGTATATGATCATCGTGAATTCGGGTGAATATTTTGTCATAATGTAAAAAATAAACTTTTTTTTACAAATAACACAAGAATTTGCTCATTTATTCTTTCCGTGTTACCGAAATTATCTGAAAAAATCAACAAAGAGACAGAGAAGTTAAACATAATGCAATACATTTAAAAAGCAATACCCAATCTCCAGCAACACATGTACAAGTGATGATTAAACTTCTGATTTAACGGTTAGTAATCTTCACAGATTTTCGTGTGTTCCAGTAAAAATCTCCCTGACAAGGATTACATGTGGGTGAATGTGCAGAAAGTGTTACCTGAAGCCAGACACGTGTGAAGGAATAACAAACAATGCATGTGTCTGTGACTAAACCTCTAATCATTATATTGCAACAACCATGCAATTATTGGGTGAAGCGGATGGATAGCTTATCGACTATTTATCGACAGTATTTGGTGTAAAATCGGGCATGAGAGTGTTGCAAGACAAGTAAGGGGAGAGTTATTGATGCTGACGTTAATGTGGCTGTCAATGTCCAGGCAGCAGGCAGACAGTCTCCCCCCTCAGACATGTATGTGCCTGAGCTGCCACTGACTGGAACTTTACTCTCCTCCTCACAAATGTCTCGCCTCAGTGTAAAGACATCTATCTACCTGTGACGAGGCATCCTCCAGCTCCACCACGAACGAATCTGGTCGTCCCTACTGTCTCAATAACAGACAGAGAAAGACAAACCCAGATGTAGAAGCAGGCATGGCTGTGTTTTATTTTAAGACCAAGGTGCATAAAATCGGATGCATCACTTAAAAAATAAAAACCAGTGAATCTCTCTCCAAGTGAATGGTGTGGAGGTGGGGAGGGGGGGGTGGGGGGGTACGTGCGGAATTACCCCTGTCAGTGGCTGCTAACCAGCAACGTGCAGTATTTATTTTCAGCCTCACAGAAGATAATCCTCTTCATTTGCAATGGCTATTAACTGGTACTATCACCTGTAAAGCTGATCAGAACATCGGTCAAACACACTCAGGGGCGAATAATCTCTTCCCCACAGAAAGCATCGGCACTGTTTGACCCCCCTCCACTCCTGGATGATGGTGTGTGTGTGTGCAAAGGCTCATCAGCCGGTCGAGCTTGGTGACAATAAACCTTAGGTTTTATTCAGGTCTTTCACATCATGAGGATGCCTAATGCTGCTTTACAAGGTTCATGGTAAAATGCAGCCATTGCACAGCAATTTGTGAACAGCAACTTCCCACAAATAACAATGTAGTGAATAACTATTGAACACGATGACGGAAGCACTGGCGGCAGGAGAAGAAGCTTCATATTATTAATAATAATAATCCTTGCATTTGATATAGCGCCTTATCACGTTGTTGGGACATCTCAAAGCGTTTCACAGAATATATTATAAAGTGAATTGACTATTTTCTTGTGGGTGAAATGCGACAGCCAATTGCGTACAGCAGTGCCCCACAAACAGTCATGGATTGAGTAACCACATTTTTTTGAAGGGTTTATTACACCCGGAAAGCATTTCGCCAATGGAGTAACAAGAGGGTTCCTCCTTACTGCTAGGTAAACAGAGGCGTGTGGAGGAAGGAAACTTGCCTAACACTTTGCCCTGCCGGGAATCAAACCCAGGCTCTCTCGCTCATACTATAAAGTGTTGTGAATGTGTGTTTAGGGAATTTGTACCAGAAGAAATATAAACAATGCACTTTTGACTAATTTGACTAAGGTTCATGCATAATACCTGCAACTGAGGCTATTTTGTCTGTAAATTTTGTCTGTAAATTCACTGGAAAGGATGGCCTCAAAAAGATTCAGACTCCAGTTTTAACCTCAATGAGGATTACCAGGGATGTTTGCAGTATTTAGGTTTAATCCTTTTAGAACAAAAGGAGCATGTCCACTAGCAGGGACAAGGTTAAAGTCAATTGTTTGCTGGGTGTGTTAGCAAAAGGTTATATGGGATTGGAATCAGAGGTCCAACAAGTCTGGTGTCCCATGTCTGTCAGCAAGTTCGACCGAACTTTGATGTTGTCAGTAGTGAATAAATGAGGAAAGAGGAAAGACGAGAGGACCATTCAGAAGAGGGACGACCATAATAGCATGGATAAAGAGACATACAAAGCTTGCGAGAGAGAAAAATAAGTTGGAGATCAGAGGTGAGGAAAGGTCGGCCTACTAAAGTTGTAGAGGGTGTTATTTACAGGATTCTCACTTCCCTTTTTACCACGTTCAGTATTTTATAGACTATGATCTTTTAGGCCTTTAGGCCGTCAGCCTGGCTCAATTGGTAGCACTTTGCCTCTGAGTCAAAAGGTTGTGGGTTGAAGCCTCCATGCCAGGACTATACAGTCTACGCTGACATTGCAGAGCTGGGGAGTGCTGCATTGTGAGAGGTGCCGTCCTTTGGATGAAATGTTAAACTGAGGTCCCATCTGTAAAAATCCCATGACACTATTCAAAAAGAGAAAGGAGTTTCTCCTGGTGTACTGGTCAACAATTCTTCCCAAATAAAATTGGTCACTCACTTCATGGCTGTTTGAGGGACATTGCAGTGTCCAAATGGGCTGCCGTGTTCGCCCACAAAAATACACAGGTGCACCACTTTAGAGTATATCCTGTGAAGTGCTTTGAGATGTTTTGATAACACAATATATCAAATGCAAGGATTATTATTATATTGTACAGAGGTTGAAGGAAAACATTCTCATGTTATATAGATATTTGGTTCAAGGGATACAGTAACAGATGGACAAAGTGACCATCTGCTTAAATAGAATTCAATTAGTCTTATTGCTACTATTGTCAGTACCTTTTCAGTCACCGTTTGTTCAGAGTGACTCTTCTTTATTTGATTGCATTTTATGTTGAGTGTGATTTTATTTGTTGCTTCTACACAGCCATTTACAGGGAAATGGTTTTAAATCTATCAGTTTTACACCGAATGTTTGCCTGTTCAATCTTACAGTATTAATAAATAACAGAATCACAATATTTTCATTCATATACACAATAGTGAATGGGCTACATACATATAACTAAATGAACAAACGCACGTGTTCTCCCAGTCTTATGGACATGTGAGTGCAGCATTATCCATTCGGTTCTCTCTTTAAATTTTTTTTGAAAGAAGATAGAACTTGATGAAAGCTGTGCTGAGTGGAGTGGTTCATATTCTAAAAGCATTGCACCAAAGAAACCATGACCCTCCTGCTGAACCGCTAACATTTAGTACATGTAGTACAGGCACTGAATTTACAACAAAAGAAAATAATATTGGATCCAAATGGCAGAGAACAAACTTATTGCTAAGGAAAATCGTCTTGTTATACATAAATGTGGTGATTACAGAACACTGAAAGATTATAGTAAAGTGCTTCACACAGATTATTAGAGTGGGTCATGGCACGGATGTGGGGTAGAAAGGATAATTGAGAGTCAAACAAGATGCCAAGGTTCCAGACTGGCTCAATGAGGTGGAGTGTGCATCCTTGGATGGTTATGCTATCACAGGAACGTTTCCACTTTGAATCCTCACAAAATAACCACACTGCTTAAGAATTTGCGCTAATTAGATGCCTACATTATTTTGAATGTAAATCAGAGTGAAACCCTCTACTGGGTTAGAATTTATTTCCTTTCCTCTTCACATATAGAAGCGAGCGGGATCGATGAGCCTAAATGCCCAAATAAAAAAAAATCTGTGAAAGAAAGAGTGAGACTGGAGACAGCAGCGAGAGCTGATGTGGAGGAGACTGATGGAGCCTCTGAAGTGTTAGGATGAGGATTTCAGCACGGGAGCTCAGGAAATATGTAAATAACTTATGAACACATCTATTCTCCTATACAATAAAATTGTCCAGAAAATATCAGTAGACACTTGCTCCCTTGCAATGAGTAGAAGCCTGTATTGACGTGCATGTTAACAACAACAACTTGCACTTATATAGCATCCTTCATGCAGGGCAGCGTCTTGGAGCACTTGACAGTGGTGTAGTCTGATGCTGAGCCAGGGGAGAGGGAGGTGGGAGGTGACTGTAAGCACGATCAAAAAGGAAGGTCTTTAGATGGGATTTGAAGATGGGGAGGGAGGAGGCAAGCTGGAGGGATTGAGGGAGAGAGTTCCAGAGTTTTGGGGTAGTGGCTGAAGGCACGGCCACTGATGGTGGAGTGAAGGGGACGAGGGACAAACAGGAGGCTGGAGCCAACCGAGCGGGGGCAGTGAGTGGTGGAGTGGGGGCTAAGCAGATCAGATAGGTAGGGAGATGCGAGGGCATGAAGTAATTTCAAAATGAGTGAGAGTATCTTGAAATCGATCTGTTCGGTAATTGGGAGCCAGTAGAGCCTGACAAGGACGGTGTGATGGGGGTATGGAGTTTTGTGTGGGTGAGTATCCAGGTGGTGGAGTTAAGTGAGGGTTCTGAACCGGAAAGAGTGTATTACCATGTAATCGACCAATAGATGTTAGAAGTGTGTGCAAAGGTCAGGAGAGGACTTGTGTGCTGTTCCATTCTTTGAAACATGCACCTTCATAATGCTTTGAAGTGTCAAGTAAAGTCAAGGATTCGAAGGCGAAGCCAATGAAACGTCACCCAGCATTTAGTGATCATTTGCTGAATCACAGCAGTTGCTGAAGCAACAAACACAAAACCCCACAGCAGCAACAAATGTTATTTCGGATT